TGTGAAGTTTGAGGTCTTTATTCTTTAAATATTATGTAAAAGTCACTAGGTAACTTTTCTATTAAGTGTGTGTGCAAACATAAGTGCATTATATTCCTTTCACATTCAATGTCCAATGGAACAATAGTCCTACTGATATTTGTTTAAAGAAAAACCCCTAAATATACGTCGCCCGACCCGGGACTCAAATGTAGGACCTCCAGATTTGCATGACGTCAAACCTAAAGCATTCTTCTTTTCTTAAGTCGGTTTAAACCAAACTCTACACATTTAATATATACTGGTTAAATTATATCAAACAAGTGTTAAGGAAGTCGTGGGTGGATCAATTTGATTCAATTGTCTTTATTATGATAACTTTTAGGCTTTGTTCGCACTAGCAATAAGTATTAGCTTACTTTCTTACGTTTTTAATAATCTCACTTGTTAGTATGTATGTATGTGTATGTGTATGTACATCTGTAATAAAATATTGGAACTTACTTTTAACCTACTTCCAAATGTTTATCGATTTGAAACTCTTAGAAATTTGTAATATCCGGATGGCAATACGATTTGTATTTTACCATCGCTCTGATTTGATAATGAAGTCAGGATGTGAATCCACAATGATACCAAAACCTTCGATTTTGATATTATTTGGTTCGTCTTAACAAGTCCCGTGCATTACAGTTAATGAAAAATGTTTATTTTTTTATTTTTTATCTATAAATTGTTAATTGTTAGTGCTTATATAAGGACTCGCGACATGTGGGACCTTAAATTATTTTACCACATACATATTATGTACATTTCTTCCTTAATACCAGAAGTAGAACCCGCGGCTTCGCTCACGCTAAAACTACAAAAAATATCTAAAAGATACCTTCATACAAACTTTCATCCCCTATTTTACCCCCTTATAGGTTGAATTTCGGAAAATGCTAAAATACATATTTATTTAATTTTATTGAAGAACATTAATACCAACTGTTTTTTTGCGTTGTATTATAACGTGTTTTTCCGTGGAAATTATATAATCTCCCGCTGTAAAATGTAGCTTATGTCACTCTTTAGCCCTCCAACTAACTCCACACAAAAAATCACGCTATTTTGTCTCTCCGTTTCGACGTGAAAGAAGGACAAACAAACAAATAAACAAACAAACAAACAAACAAACAAACAAACAAACAAACAAACAAACAAACAAACAAATACACTTTCACATTTATAATATTAAGTATAGATGTACCGTAATAAAAAGTACCATAAAATCAATATGTTATTTAAATTTCTATCCAGAAATAAGAAAAAATGAGACAAGCTGCAGGTACAACTTGTTGATGATAAAAACCAAAGTAATTCATTCGCAACGCAAACACAGTATAGTGTCAACACTAGTCTTAATATCAGAGTATCGTTATCTCGTTCGCACCAACCACGCCGCTAAGATTCGATTTGAACTTTGAACTTTCATTTCTATTCCGCCCTATGAAATACTTGTGTAAAGTACGTTAATATATTGAGTGTTTGCTTATTAGGTATTAAATACTAAACTAGTTTTTGTCTATGACGTTGCCTGTACACTTTACATTTTTTCACTAAAATATAAACTTTTGTGCCTTTAAAGCTTTCTAACAGATAAAGGAACAATAAAATACTTGTTTAAAAAGCTGTTCTGATTTAAATTCATGACTAAACTACAGGCTCGATATCACTTAAGACAGGTCTTAAAGTGTAATTTTAGGGAAATTCTGTAATATATTTCAACATATGAATTTGGAACTTATTTTTAGCTAAGCAATATATGTTTTTTTAAATAGGAGGTTTAAAAAGAAGTAATCATAAAAGCTTCACAATGATCTACAAAGATATCGCTTAACATGCACTTAAGAAACTTCTATCACCGCCACTTTCTTTTGAAGTTGGTCAAAAAGAACTCAATTTTGATTATAGAATAATAAGGACTCTAATGAGTATGGACATGTGACGAGAAGAGAGATGCGGATGAATGTAGATAGATGGAGAAGATGGTGATAGAGTGAGTGAGACAGGACATGAAAGAGAAAGGGGTTAATGAATAATAGGGGAGAGTGGAAGAAGACGAACTGCGTCTGGTAATTTAGGAAATCGGGAGGGTGTTGATGAAGGATTCTAATTCCCAGGTCTTAGTGCCTATAGGACTAATATATTATTATAATGTGATCTGTGCTATAAATACGAAAGTTTATACTTCTTATTCCTTCACGCTAGAGCGGCTTGACGAATTTGGGTGAATTTTAGTAAGCGGATAGGTAGGTTATAACCTGGAGTAAATACATTGGCTACTGCTACGTAATACAATTAACAGAAAAGTACCCATCAAGCCGTTTTCATGAGTGAAAAGCAACAAATGATTTAAATAAAAATTTGACTTTATGTTCTACAGCGGCTCACCGCTCAACCTCTCTTCGCTCTGGTTCGTCGCAAAATATACATAATATTGTTCATACAAAAATACTAAAATCGCCTTAAAAATTTGGGGTGGAGGTAGTTGGGTGAAAAATATTTTACGGCCTATTCTCATACCTGCTAAATATACAAAAAAAAATCATTCAAGTCGGTCGAGCCGTTTCGGAGTATATATAACTTTTTAAATATTCCTCCATTAAACTTTTTCAGAATAACCAAACCACAAATATATTTATATAATTTTATCCCGATCATTTCTATATAAATTAGAAATCGTCAGAAAAGCCACAAACAACTCACAATAGAATCTATAATACGAGTATATTACTGTCAATTAAGTAATGAACAGGATTAATACATGCGATATACCCATCCCCCTGTGATGTTGTTGTTGTAGAGTTAGTCTAAAAATATATGCATGATCTATATATTTTTGGCTAACGTTAGCCCGTGGTGTTGCTTATAATAACTTAGTCACTACTATGATAAATGCGAAATTTTGTATATGTGTGTTTGTTTCTTTAAGTATTAGTTACTCCTTCACTTTGAAGACACTGGACAAATTTGGATGAAATTCAGTACATACACAGAAAGGTTATGATCTGGAGTATAATATAGGGTACTATAAATAATAAAAGCTACAAGATGGCGCTGCAGCCTGTACAGGCAGCGTACAATATTATGTACAGACATAACATTGACATTGACAGAAAAAAGGCACCGGGGGATACACCCGGATGAAACGAAGCTAAGTCGCTAGTTATCTATACATATAATAAAATTCTGAGTCGAATCTGTACATTAAATATTTTTTTGGAAAATCTTATTGAAATAGACATTATTATCGATAGAGAAGCCGAATTTAGAGTTTTTAGAATATTTGTATGTCTGTCTGGGATCGTATCACAAGAAAAGCACTGGACAGATTTTGATGAAATTTGGTATACTTATATTATATTATATAATAGATACTATTTGATATGATACTTTTTATCTCTGAGATATATATACTTACGTTACTTACGTTAAAACGTAACTTTATGACGTTTCTACTATATAGAATTAATGTTTAAATAAATATTTTTTTATAAAATCTCTAGATACTTTATTCTACATTTGGAAAATATATGTATCTATTGTATGTATGTATGAGTGTAAGACTTACCCACGCATTTATTTTCCAAAACGAGCCTGTGCAGGATTCTGGTATTTTAATTTCTCCCCTCTCAAGACTTTCTATACTATAAAGTATAGTCAAATACATAAAATAGGGCTTCTTCATTTAATATTTTTTAAAGAAAATAAATACAGAAAATATATCTTTCTATTTAATATTTAATATTTATAAAAACATTTTCATTTTTAGGGTCCGTACCCGAAGGGTCCGTCCGTTCGTCCGTCCGTCAGAGGGCTGTGTCTCATGAACCGGAAAAAAATCAATAAACAGATATGTTTAACGTTCGTAATCGATCATCGAAGTTAATACCTATACTACATACGTAGAGTTAAAGTCATATTAATAAAAAGTACATGTACAATGGTACGGAACCCTTTGTGTTTGAATTCGACTCGCACTGGATTAATTTTAAAATAAAAATATAATTATTTACGATAGTACATTGTGACATTTTTTTTTATACTTTGATTATTTGAAGTCTCTATCTTGAACTAGTACGCCTAGCTATACTATTAACCTTAACTCTTTATCAGATTATTTAAAATAATTAAGTAGAAATAGAAGTTTTTTACGATACGTTGTAACGTTTTTTAAATATAATAAGAATATCTAAAACCTGTAAATGAAATTAAAGAAAACCGTAAAGTAAGTTATTCAAAATATTATTAATATATTTAGGAGTACTAGTGATTGCCTTCTGGTTCAAAATCAACCATAAACATAATTCATTAAGTTTGAACGATATTTTTCAAAGTTATATAGATAGCCTATAAAATCTTAATTTGACCACAGACTTTAACAGTAAACAAAAGAGTAGGTATATATGCGTGTGTGTGTGTCAATTACATGGTAGTGTTTGTAATGTTTTTCTTGTTGATTTAATGTATTTTTATGCATAAAATAAAAAAAATATTAGCATTCTTCACTCCTTCTCTATATAAACTATAAGTGTGGGAAATTTCATACTCCTCCGTCCGCGCAATTTTCGTTAAAATGGGTAGAAAGTTTTTGCTTCACGTATTAATATATAGATATTCCTGTAAAAACTAGTAATATCTACTATTTAGTAATAAATGAAAATAACGCTGCAATCTTTAATGTAGCAAGAATTATAAAAATTAATATAAATCAAAAAAACGCGATAAACAACAGACATAAAGAGTACGTTAATTAAAAGCCCGTTGAAAACAAACATTGCACGTATGTTGCGTAGAAAATATTTGGTAAGTATTATCTACTGGTAACAAGAATAGTGCAACAAATAACCACAAAAACAGTTTAATATTTTGTATCAATAAAGCAAATAACAAAATGTAAATCTTGAACATATCTAACAGGAAACGTCGCAACTAAATAAAAAAGCAACAATTTCGAAAGTATTCGTAGTTCTTACCATCCTTTTTTCTATCAGAATCGTGTTGCGGGCCAGAAAACTTCAGTCCCCTGGTGGTTTCATTCATCACGACCAGATCAGCGGCGGTTACCACCTGGAACCCTAAATTATGGCTCGAAACCGTAGAATTCCATTGCCACATACACATATCTATCGACCCATTATGGTTCTCAAAATCACAAAACACACCAGTCACTTGTGGTACATAGTTCTTCTTGTAGTGATTAGCATCGAAAGGACTTATATCCTTAGGTCTTAACACCTTCATTTTGTTTTTCAATGTGTTTGTATCGTTTTCTGGCGCAGTTTTCTGACTGATCGCGATAGTGCCTTCGTTATCGTTTAGCATGTCATGTTTTCTGCTCAATTGTAGGAGTTTATTTAAACTCGGTTTCCTCCGTCTGTTAGTCCGATCAGCATCCGTCCTGTTCATCAGAGTGGTCAGTTTCTGGAACGACCCACGCACAGGGTCGGGGACCGCGATTCTTGTCTTTTGCTCCTTTTTCGCCGCCACGGCTTCTTGCGTTTTATTCGTCGTCGAGACCTCATAGTCGGCGCTGACCACCGCAATTATGGCAATGAAGAGAAGAACTTTAGTCAGCGCCATTAGGGAGTAGGTATAGATTTCAGATGTAGTTCGCGTGGGGGCCGCTCGTAGCGGTCAATTTCCGCCTGTATGGGCTATTTAGCATCTTTCCAGTAGCTTATTGTCAATATGCGATGTAATCATAGTTTCATCTAGTCCCTTTACACAACATACGTCAATAGTACTATCCTAAGGAGTGCCGCGACCTCGTATGCATCGTAATTTGGAGATCCGCCAATTTCTATGCTGGCATATCTTTAATAATAATGAGCACATTTTATACAGTCCTACATTAACAGAAAAAGTCAATTCTATCTTCCATGTCCATGAAAATCACTGGGCCTAATGGACGACGGAGTACGTTACAACTGATTTAGAATTAGCATGCGCGAATCACACATGAACTTGACGAATTAAACTACACTCAGGAGACTGGTTTGGAACACTTGTAGCGATACATCCGCAATTTTTCAATTTCCAGAACTAAAATTACGTTTTAACTGGACTATATTGAGGTACATACACCGTCCCACTCCCGGTGGACGCGCAGCGCCGCGACGGTGATACGCGGAACTAAACGACCGAAATAATCATTACTTTTCGCGAGATGTGATCTTGGAGCGTCGAGGGGATGCTGCGCAGGTGTCAGCCCGCCTTTAGCCTATTCCCGGGCTTTTCGCGCAGGATGTCACTGCGTCAGACACCGGATGTAAGATTGGCCCTCTCATAATCTCTGCCCACGTCGAACTATCCTGATTGGCTCGACCGTATATTTGCGCGTCGCGTATTGGTTGTTGTGTAAATTGCCGCGAAAATAAGCTAATAGAAGATGTCACCGGATATTGCATGGAGGAAATTTCCTCAGAGATTTGTTTACGCCAGCGACAGACAGTCGTTGTTTTTTGACGGATATCTAAGGAAATTCAATTGACGGTATACAAGTTGCAGCTCAATTCCATCTAATTTCCATGAGAAAATCGTTAGGATTGGATGTTCTTAGCTTATATTTTTGACTTTGAAAGAAAGAAAAATATTATAAATAAAAGAAAAGTTTATTAAACGCAAGCTTTTAATTATTAACGTTACATTTTAAATTTAATAATAGGTAGTTAATCTCAATACAAAATTATTAACATTATTTTAAGTAGGTAAATCAGACGACACTAAACTCATGACAGCTCACAGCCATTCGTAATTAGGAACGTGCGTTCTAAAACACGCCATATGTGTAAGTTTTCATTTAATATTTTTACACATGCTCAAATTATAAAGTACTGTTTTTATGATTGAAAGTTAAAATATATAAAAATAAATTATTTTATATTATTTCTTTTCTTTTTTTCTTACATAATAAAAAAAATATGCACGACATCATACTTCATTACTTTTATTTCAGAACGTGTAGCACCACTCCTTGAGAAGAGGATTATTTTGGTCTGAATACATGTTCATTAAAAAATCATGGTGTAAAAAATCTGTGAATAATAAGTGAAAATAATGCGCTCGGTTATTAAAAGGGCTGTGATGTGACGTAACGTGTATTCTACAATCTACATATATTCGCCATCCATAACTGAGGTAAGTTTCGAATTCCTCTATCTTGTAAATAAATATTGAGCAAGCAATGTTTTCGATGTAATATTTTTCTAAATCTAAAATAAATGAAAAACATAACTTCACTTATATTTATAAACAAAGCATTATTAAATATAAACGTTCATTTTAATTTCTTGACAACAATGATACAAGTTGCACTAACTTTCATGACAAAAATGTATAATTCTAAAAATAGCATTAACTCCAATTAGAAAGGTTTTCTAACAAAAGCTGTACCTTATATTCACTTATACATGTGACTGATTTAACAGGATGCAGCTAATATTTTTTTGCCTTGATATGCAGACTTGTGATGACTATAAATAAATAAAAAAATAATTAAATAGATGACTAATAAAAGGTAATTGAATAGACTAAAAATGATATATAAGTGGTTTGATCAATGTTGTACATTTATATTATAATTATGTCATTATTTGTTACTCTCATAATGTATCTATTTCAATATTAAGCCATTGTCTTTTCGAATAAATGGTTCGATCATTAATAAACTCATTGAAGTAGTGTTGTACTTGCATGCTTAGCAAAATTGTTAGACTTAAGATTTTGTAACTAGGTTATATTTAAAATAAAGCATACTTTTATTTAATCAAAATTCTTTCACATAGATATACTTGAAATATTCGGATTGTTTTGCCTAAGAACCTACTCTTGATGAAATGTAAGGTAAATTAGCTTTATACATCAGTCATATTTGTAATATTGCTAATAAGTCAGTATATAATTATTCAAAAGAATATTGATATGCAAAAATTCACACACGATTCACCTTATTATGAACTAGTTTTTGCCTGTGACTTCACTCTCTTGTTAGTTGTTATATTTATAAAAAAAATACCAGATTCAATTCCACCGAAATTATCTACCTACTAATGAATGTTTTAACTAACAAAGACAAACCTGCTAAAAAATTTTAAGTCATTGTGGAGGTTTGTTAGTACAAAAACACAGAAAAAGTAATTAACTTTTTTTTAGTCCTTGGTATCATAATAATAACTGATTAGCTTATAATGGAGTAACTTATTTTAAAGCACACAGATTTGACAATTTTTTTGTCTAAAAATACAATGGCTGCTAAAATAAGCATACATTCAACAAACCTAAAAACCAAATAATTATAAAATTTACTAATACTTCTAGATAGAACTTTTTAAATACACATAATAGCGTGCCTAATCTTATATCTTTAGACCAGCAATTCTTGTATATATATATATTCAAGGTTTTAGTTTTTTTTTAATGTACTTTAAGCCAAAAACTCCAAGCGAAGCTTGGTAGCCCAGGTACTTAAGTTTAACAAAATCAAGTTAGAAATGTTTCACACATAAAATATCATAAGTGGGAGACCTGAGATTTAAAACTTCACTCGATTTCCCAATCAAGCGCGTTACCACTGGGCTGCCAATATAATCTGATAATAAATAACTTGTAATAATAATCTTCATATAATGCCTAGATAAGGCAAAATTTCCCACTTTATTTTTGAATAAAATTTGCCTTATCTTTTATGCCTATGATATCAAGCTATACATATAATCAAATTGTAACTAAGCCGAATCTGTACATTAAATATTTTTTGGAAAATCTTATTGAAATAGACATTATTATCAGAATTTTTGTCTGTCTGTCTGCTACCGCATCATAGAAAAACCACTGAGGGAGAGATTTTGATGATATTTAGTATGGTGATAGCTGGTTATCCAGGTGAATATATAGGATACTTTTTACCGCGGGGAAAAAATACAAACACTGCAGTGTATACTAATATGTAAAACCTAAGAATTTGGTTTTTGGTCATCTGAACGCAGGCGGAGCCGCGGGCAATGCTAGTTATATTATATAATTATGCCTTATTAATTAGGGAATTACATGTTTTATAAGTATATGACTAGTTTTCGTCTGCTGCTCTACTTGTATAGAATATGAATAAAAAAACCTGTAGTCCTGGAGATTATCACCTAGATACAACCAACTTTTGCAAACAATTTTTTTTATCTATATAATATATATACAGAGTGGTCGGAACGTTGACGTCCAAAAATAAAATTTAGGTCCCTCGAATCGTAGGGTATCCGAATCACCCCCTTGTATGTTACGTGACTTTTCTGGAGGAGACAAAAATAGTAAATTTTGGCAAAAAAAATTTTTGGTATATATATCCCAAAATATAATCATAATCTACCTAAGGTAAGATCTTGTTACGATTAGATTATAATTTATGATATTATAACATAATTGTAAGACAACGAAATCTTAAGCAAGAGCTTTAAATTAATAAAACAATACTGTTTTTTATCATCTGTACATTACCAATGTTTTTAGTGGGTAGTACTGGCTGTATTACGCCGGTGAGTCCCACACATTGTCGGTACATGGCATTGAAAAAAAAATAAGGTACTCAATTACTTAGCGAATAGCTTATATACCTACTGGTGATCGGTGAACTCGAACCAGCGACACACACTTGTCAAAGTTTGCCACAGTGTATCTTTCAGCCCTTGCTGCATTTAAATACAAGTTTGTTTATTATTTGCCTCGTAAATATTTTTTTAAAGGAAAAATCGTAGTTTTTAAATATCTGATATCGGGCTAGGTATTGCGTTACTATACGCTATCTGGCCTGATATCAAAATAAGGCCGGATACTGGATAGTTGCCGGATATCCGTTTTATCTCTAGTCTCTAACCCAGTATAATAAATAAAAACACACTGTATAAAGACTAATTAATAGTTTATAGAAGAAAAGCTTATAATATAAATATTTTTATCGATATATCTGTATCATATTATATTCCGCTAATAATTAGGTATTACCATTATTTAGGGCTGTCACAGTAACAAAAATAACATATCGAAATAAAAAAATATATCATAGGAGTCACAGAAATATTACACTATATAATTGACTTTAAAAACTGATTTTTTAAATTTATTTTTTTATGATTTACTTCTGCTTGAAAGTATGAAATAAAAAATCCAGTTAACATACTTTGGAATTTCTATTATTAGTAAAGAGTTAGTTTCTGATAACGATTGTTTAATTTACGATTAAGGCAGTGGTAGCCCAATGGTAACGCGCTCGCTTGGTAAATCGAGTGAAGCGGGTTCAAATCCCGGGTCTCGCACCTCTGATATTTTCATGTGCGAATCATTTCTAACATGATTACCACTTGCCTTACGGTGAAGGGAAACATCGTGAGGAAACCTGCATGTCTGAGAGAACCTAACAAGTTTTCGAAAGACATGTGAAGTCCGCCAACCCGCACTTGGCCAGCGTGGTGGACTATGGCCTGATTCCCCTCGTACTGAAGGGAGGCCCGTGCCCAGTAGTGGGACGTTAAAAAGGGCTGAATACATACATACACATTATACGATACGTAATAAATTTTCATATATACCTCACTGATATATTTGTATATCAATGACATACCTACTCGTATCTCGCCTCTGAATAAACTTACTTCATTACGGTTTTACATAGTAAGTACGTATAATATCTAGGTAACTGGGTGAATGAAATAGGTCAATACAGCCATCACATTTGCATCGTAGATATCTATTATATATCGCCCTAATTAAAAGAAAATAAATATCTTTAACTTTCTAGAAAATGTCAGTCTTTTTGACCTCCATTGAGTTTATTGGTGAGTGTGCCTGTATCGTGTTTCAGAGTATTTCTAATAGTTTCCCTTCAATAACATATTATTAATTATAGTTTCTAGATTAACCTCAATCATATAAAAATCTCTTTGCTATATAAAAGTGCTTTATCTTACACAAGCAACTCACCCTCGCTTCGCTCGGGTTCGTCCCTAGCTACCTTTTAACGATTAGTATGAAATACAAATCTTTGACCGGCTTTTCTGTACCATAATATGCATGTATTATACATATAAACCTTCCTATTAAATCACTCTATCTATTGCGGAAAACTGCATTAAAATTCGCTGAGTAGTTTATTTTCATTATGTATGGAAAATATTATATACTAGCGATTCCTTTGAGTGCGTCTCTAAGTATCACACAGTCACCTGTGTTTTACTCAAAATCTATCGTATATATTAAATTTCATCCAAACCTGCCCAGTCTTTTCAGCGTGGAGGAGAAACAAATACAATAAATTAATATTTTTATTTTTTCTAAACTTATTCAGCCCTAACTACTAATAAGATAACGGCACGGCAGTACTTCAAAGATAACAAATGCAAAACATTTTATAGGAAATTAACACGTCATTAAAATCAATTTCTAGAACTAAGTGGAAGTGACTTTCGATTATCCTGTAGTGAACATTTTGTTTTAAACAAACAATGTACCTACGCAATTCTTGTCGCATATAAGGAAAAGGTGATTCGTTAAGGTTCCTTTTATAAGTTGGTAAAATTTCGTACATGTCTTTGTTTTATTTCCTAACATTTCAATTGTTGATTGTATGTGTGAATGGATGAGCTAAATGTGAGTTTTTTGGCAAATTTTATATACAAAATTCTATATTTAAGACTTGGATCGGCTACCTAATAATATAAGCTAAAATAAAACGAATTAACAGAAAAAGCGATCTTCTTCTTCTCCCTGCCCATTTTCCAATCACTTGGGGTCGGCGCAGTACATCTTCTGTACTGCTGATAGGATTTGGCAAAAGTTTTACCTTACCTTCCTTGGGAATGCTATTGTCTCTCTTTGTCTCAATGGTGTCGCGGAAGTCTTGTAATATGCACTTTCGACTTTTTTGCCTTTTAAAACATTTTTTATACTATTACTGAAAAAGCGATATTGATATATTATTTAAATGGCCTTAGATGAAAAAAATATTTTGTTTTACCTTCTAGGCACGTAAAATAAAGCGAACGACACACTTTATTTATTTACCGTAGGAAAAATGTAAGCATTTTGGCTGCTTTTATGGATTCGTCAAAAACAATTGGTTAATTTGGTTATTTGTGGTCTAATCTTCGGTAGATGGATCAGTTGCGAAGGACTGGAGTGTGTGAGCAAACGATCCTTTTTTTTTTATGTCGGGAAATGCATTTACGCATACCACCTGATCCCCCAGGTGGTGATGTGGGGCTCACCGGCTATAAGAGCCAGTACTACCCACTAAAACCCGACATTCCCCTCCCCTCCGCCTTAATGGGACGCCGCAGGATCGCTTGCGCATAACTACTACGGCGCCCCGGCGGCAGATCTGCCAACGGCTGACCACCACACCGATGGGGCTGCTCCACAGTCAACTCTGCTACACCAGAGAGGTACCCGGAGCAGCTCCATAAAACCGAACCTCCGCCCACCGAAGTGGGCCACCTCCAATCGGCTGCAGAGGACAGGGAGAGCAGCAACGAAACACCGACACTCCTCTTCCCCTGCAGCCCCACCGCGTCCGCCATCAAACGGTGGCGGCTCCGTCTAGGCCGCGGAAGGTAGGGAGAACGGCGCACCGAAATACCGGCACTCCTCTCCCGCCGCGGCCTACCCCTCCACCGGATGCGGGCCTGCGACTACAGTCCCGCAACCGGCACCCATCATCCGGTTGTGGGACCAAGCGGTCCCACCACCAATGGCCGCAACGTCTTCGGCTCGAGGCCTAGACGAGCGGCCCCATCCAAGCCATTTGGTCCGCGCCGGATTTCTCCGGTACCACCCGCCGCCCTAAGCGGGTGGCATTCCCCTATCCGCCACCTGGGGACGCGCCCGGTAGGAGTTGGTTTCTCCCCCGGGATGAGCAAACGATCCTACGACGTCACACTATCTCGACATAGGGTTCAGCTCTGGTTTTAGTGAATAGGAGTGATGTCCCACTGGGTCGATAATTTTGTAACCAGTAATGGACTTATTAGTTAGGACGTGTATTTCTAGCCATTGTGATAAAATATATTGAGCATTTTTATTCACACAAAAGTTTCTCGTAAAATTCAATTCGTGTAAAATCCACAATGAAATAGGATTCCAAACGTTTTAAATTCAAGCAAACAGCAGCCCGCATCGTCTAACCGAAATTAAATACTAATTCATTTTATTACCTCTTCCAGATAAAATGACATAAACAATGTCCGGTGGTAAGAACAAGCGCTCGAAGCGTCATGAGGGTTGGGAGGAAGCGGGGGGTGAGTTCTACCAGGAACTCTATCCGGGGGGTGAACAGGATCTCTTCGAGAACCTTCAGAGAGCCGATGCTGCGAAACTTGCCACGTTGCTACCTTCGAAACAGGCTAGAAATAGTAAGTACTTTTTTACTAATCTATCGATAAGCTCATAAGGCAAAAATAGAATTATATCCCCATTCCATCTCTTTGTTTATATTATTACTAGCTACTTAAACTCGCTTCGATCGTGTATACTTTAGTTTGCTCCAGGTCTTAGTCTATTCATTAAATTTCATTTTATAAAATCAATCCACAAAGGCGTGGCCACATTATCCCTGAGTGACTATTAATAGGCTATTTATCCATATATCCTTTTCTATCCTCATATCCTTTCTTAATCATGTATAATTTCCTATCCTTCCATCTATGCCTATCCTTTTTTTGTATACAAATCTGCAGATATTATTTGACGGATAAAATGCCCAAAAAATGAAGCAAAAAGGTGAATGCAAACCATTTTATCATGGTCCATTAAAGGATTCGGGTGTTAAACAAAACGACATTCAGGTGACAAACCCACTATCGTATCTATGGTATTGGTAAGAATTTTACATTATTTTCAGCGACCACGGCAAAACGTGTGCGGTCACAGAATGAACGCCGTCAGTCCACATACGCTCGCACAACACAGAGTAGGGACATACACCTGTCCATGTTGCCGGATTTGTCTGGTAAGTTTTTTTAACTAACTTTAAAAAACCGGTTAAGTGCGAGACGGACTCGCACACGAAGGGTTCCGTAGCATAATCGATTTTATTTTGATTTTCTATAGCGGCCATTTTGAAATTCGCTATCTTGGTATAACTGCAATAAAATATACATTTTGTGAAAATTTCAATCTCTACCTATTACGGTTCCTAAAATACAGCCCGCTGTCAGACAAACGGACGGACAGCGGAGGCTTGGTAATAGGGTTTGTCGTTTGCACCATTCGGGTACGGAACCCTAAAAAGGAGAAGTTTAAGTGACTGTTTTTGTGTTGATGTTACGTAATGTTTTCGCATATTATGATACTTTTTTTATAGACTTTGTATGCGTGTATGCTTTCGAGTGATCTTATTTAAAATGAAACAAAAACTTGAAGATTATTTTAGAAGATGGAAATGGCATTTTAATGTCAAATTAACTTACACACAAATCGTAATAAGGCATTTATTATGTAACTCGAGCTTTGGCCCGCCCTCGCTTAATAATTTTATATAATTTTAATTACCTGTAATTAGAATACCTTTATTCAACTTAGACGTCAGTCATTGAGTTAAAGTTTTTCGGTAGGTATATTTACGACTCGAGTCGGAAAAATACAAATAACATAATATATAATTCTATTATACTAAAGAGTTTTTTTATTGGCCTTATAAAAACCATTACCGTAGAGTAAATATAGAATAAAATCAAACTCTTTGTGTAAAAAAAATGAGCAAAAAAAGTTACAAGGACAAAAAAAATAATAACCTTGGTACAGCATTGTACTACAATCGTTCAGTGACACACCGTTACTAATTTTCCTCGTTCGCTCGCCCTACAATCGTTTAGTCATTAATTAACACGTGCCTTCCAAATAAAAGTTTAATGTGCCAGAAATACCGTTTCATTCTGTTTTCAACTTCGTTAATGGAAATCGCGATATGAAAAAATTAAAAAAAAATATTTTTTTTTTTTGGTAGGTAATACTTTAATTTGTTTAGTGTGAAAAGGTCCTTATATATTCGTGTGGTTGAAGTTTTATAATTATTATTACATAAATATGCAGTCTTTTGTAGATATTGGTGAAGTAAATAATAGTGGTATGTATTTATTATATGTAAATATTTTTGTTAAAACTTTAATAACAATAATATAATGCTAATTTGTTGCCAGTTGCATAAAATAGTTTTAAGGCAATAATTTAACTAAATTAAATAATCTCCCTCGTGACCAAAAGAAGAAAAAGTAAAAAAAAAGTCTGAAAAGATTTATTTAAAATGTCAAATGTTCGCGTATATCAAAGAAAGTATTATTGGAACCTGCTGTTCTAAAACTGCATTTGCAAGATTTACTCGAAAAAAAACAAGAAATATTATAATGGACGATATGTATCCAGCCCTTTTTAACGTCCCACGGCTGGGCACGGGCCCCCCTTCAATACGAGGGGGATCGGGCCATAGTCCACCACGCTGGCCAAGTGTAGGCGGAATTCACGTGTCTGTCGACAACTTGCTAGGTTCTCTCAGACATGCTGGTTTTCTCATGATGTTTTCCTTCACCGTAAGACAAGTGGTAATCATGTTGGAAATGCTTCGCACATGAAAATGTCGGAGGTTCGAGACCCAGAATTTGAACCCACTTCACTCGGTTTCCCAAGCGAGCGCGCTGAAATAGTATACTAATGTATTTTACATCAATAAAATAGCTAATTATTTATATTTTTGTTATTTCAATAGAAAACTTATCCAATGAAGAGCGCACGTGGGAGGAGATTATGCAAATTAAAGCCATGCCGGTGCCGATGCACCAGAAGCTGGAGATTAAAGCGAGATTACAGGTGAAGTATAATTTATCATGGATATAGTATATACTAGTTTATAAACACGGTTTTTTTACATCGTTACTTGCAATGGGTAATAAATAAATGAATATGTCGGGACATTAAAACACACAGCATCGTCTAGTTCCATAGTTAGCCGATGCAAAGCAAATCTAATATATTTCGATAGGTACGTAAAATACATATTTACCTATTAGATATTCATATCTTAAAATATTGTCAGCTGGCACCGACTTCGAAAATATTTGATTAGGTATATATTCTAAATGAAAACGGCATTAGGGTTGACGCGTGTATCTGTAACTTGCCGAGATGGCATTACAGTGCGTTAACTTAAAAAAAAAATTTATGATAACCCTTGAATTTTAAACAATTCCTAATTCATTCTGATTTTCCCAATTTCTCGGGATTTTTTTCCTTAAATATGTTATTAGTTCTATTATGTATATTCGGTTCAGCCATTATCAAGTGCGCTTACCAACAAAGATAATTATTTTACACTAGTGACTCAACCTCGCTCCGCTCGTGTTCTCGTCCCTAGTTACGTTTTAACGTTTGGTATAGATTTCTCAGAGATGAGATATTTTCCCGAAGTAAAAAGTATCCTAAATGTTGACCCGGATAACCAGCTATCATCACACCAAATTTCATCAAAATCTGTCCAGTGGTTTTCTCGTGATGCGCGCCTAGACCGACAGTCAGACAAAAATTCTAGAAACTAGATTCGGCTTGTGTATCGATAATAATGACTATTTCAATAAAATTAAAAAAATAATGATGTACAGATTCGGCCCCGTTAGACTTTTATATTATGTCTAGATATAGATGTACCTATATAAAATAATTATAAAGGAAATTATGACTATTATATATATTTTTTTTCAGAATGCTACGAAGCTACGATTGCAAGGTTTAGAACAACTTCAATGGCGACAAAGAAAAGTGTGGCATCGTTTTAGTATACGTTTCACCGAAATTGTGGGAAAGCTAGAACTTTGGCAGACATCTTTACGAGAAATTGAAGGGAAATTTGGTACAGGAGTTGTATCATACTTTCTATTTCTAAGATGGCTGTTATTTCTCAACTTGATCATATCGATTTTAGTCATATTTTTTCTCATCCTACCCACACTTTTGTTAGACGAAGTTACGTACAAGTGTGATACGTTTCTAGAAAATTCGACAACTTGCTGTTCTCAAGCGTATTTCCAAAGGAATTTTACGCGTAATAATGTAATTTTGGAATTCATTCAAGGCACTGGTTGGATGGAAAGGACGATTCTTTTCTATGGTTTATACAGTGATCAAATATATTCATATTTTGTACCTAAATTATGGGCAGCGAACATGTATTATAATATGCCGCTCGCGTACATACTTATACCGATAACGTGGACGTTTTTCTCGCTAGTCGCTATAGTTAAATCTGCAGCGAGAGGCTTCAAAGAGCGTTTAGTAGAAAACGAGGGACAGTTCTACATGTACTGCAACCTCGTGTTTGGGGGGTGGGATTTTTGTATTCAAAACGATAAATCAGCTAAAATAAAACACAAAGCGTTATTTAACGAAATCAAAGGCTGTTTGGAGGAAGAGAGGTATAAAGAAGAGAAACAGTTACGTACAAGGGAAAGCCAAATTTTGATATATTTGAAACGTTTCTTGATAAATATACTCGTTTTCATCATCCTCGTCGGTTCCGGGATATTGATTTACGTTATATTCAATGAGTCTATGGATAAATTGAATGAAATAACGGGAAACGAATACAGTAATCGTACGGAAGTGGATGTTACCGATTCGTACTCGATATGGCAGTTCCGGAACACGTTATTGGAGTTCTTACCCTTCATAACGATCGTGGTGTTAAATATTATAATACCGGAAATTTTTAGTTATTTGATCAAATTCGAGACGTACACGCCAGCTAATACAATAATAATTTCGTTATTACGAACTGTTTTGCTTAGACTTTCGTCTCTAGCGGTTCTTTTAAGCCAGATTTACATACAGATCTCAGATCCGGACAGACAAAGATGTTCGGTTTTTGAAGAAGAGTTCAGACTTGAATGTTGGGAAACGTACGTGGGGCAACAGTTGTATAAGTTAATTTTAACGGACTTCGCGTTACAATTTGTTATGACTTTCGTCATAAATCTGCCCCGAGCGTTCATCGCGAGACACAGTAACAGCAAATGTCTGAAAGTAATCGGCACCCAATACTTCTACCTTCCAAAAAACGTTTTAGATATAGTCTATACCCAAACTATCATTTGGATGGGTGCCTTCTTTTGCCCGTTCCTACCAATAATCGGAACCATTTTTTGCTTTTTAATATTTTACATTAAAAAATTCTCGTGTCTAACCAATTCTACACCATCTCCAATAGTTTATAAAGCGTCCAAGTCTAAATCTTTGTTCATGTCGGTACTGTTACTAGGTTTCGTCATATCGATAGTTCCGGTTGCGTATTCTGTAGCGGAAATAGCTCCATCTTGGAATTGTGGGCCCTTTAGGGGCTATGAGACTGTGTGGCAGTTTGTAGTTGATACGTTTGATGCGTTCCCTTATCTAGTCCGAGAGCTAACATTTTTTATCGGCACGTCAACGTTTGCAGTCCCGGCTTTTGCTATATTATTATTTTTTTTATATTACTACTGGGCAGTGGCCGTAGCCAATCGGCATATGGTAGAGGTTTTGAAAAACCAGCTAGTTTTAGAAGGGCATGATAAGCAATTCTTGCTAAATAGACTCAGTGCGTTTATAAGGCAACATCAAAAACGATGTGAGAGGAGAAATAGAGCTAGCTTCGCAGATGACGATTCATCAGTGCAACAAAGTTCGAGGTAAAATTTTTGATTTTGGTAGGTGTTTTTTTTTGACGGTCCGATATGGTTTGGGAGATAACGTGTGTGTACTTTGTTTTGTATATTTAATGGCTAAAAGCAATTTTTATAATAATTTGCTACACAAAATTCAATAATTTATAAGTTTATTATGAATTAGCATATATTTTGTGTAAAAATTTTCCTTATATTGAAACGCTATCTCCTATACTATATGAATGTATTTTTTTTAAGTATAGAAATTTTTCTAACATGTCGTCTGGCTTACATTCCAAATCGATTAATTAATTAACTTATTCGTATTAGAAAATATAGATACGGAGCTAGTCAATGGTTTAACATAACTTAGTTCCCAAGAAAGTATTAAGTTTTATTCCATTTTTATTGAACTAAACAAATTTTGATTGTGCTCTCTTGTTTCTAATAGCCTTATAAAAGTGTAAATAGCATTTATTAGTCACATCTAGATGTAGGTTTTAGTTTAGAGATCTCAATATATTTAAATAAAACAAACACGATGTAGAGGAACGATATGAAATTATTTAGTCTGAATAATTTATTATCTGTCGACATTTTTAGAAAAAATAAAGTTATCTTAAGAATCATGAACTTTATGAAACAAAAATACTCCTTCGATGTTCCTAATTATGAACCAAGTCAGGAGGCATTTATTTATAGTGTCAATTTACGCACATTTAGCTCTAAATCTAAATAATAATTTATAATAGATATCATATAAAGGAATCTCTGGCAGATCTAATTTATCTATGCAAATAAAATAATAATCCAGCAACTTTTTTTTAATAAATCGATTAATTTGTATTAAAATCGATTTGGTGTTTGACATCTCGATTAAATAATTTTTTTTTATCTTTCAAAGCTATTTTTATAAAAATTCTGTGGCATCTAGTATATATTATTATAGCCATATTTGTTGCATATTGTGTCATCTCTGTGCCGGCTTAGTTGTAATGCTTCAAAATTGTAAATAACTTGATGTAAATTTTTAAGAAATTATTTATTAAATTTTCTTTTTAGTATATTTTATTTTAGCATCAATTTTCAAGTATTCTAAGGCAGCTGTTTTATAAAATAGCGTTTTTTTATTTATAGAGACATAACGAAATTAGTTATCGATTTTTTCTAATGGTAAATTAAATAGAAAATCGATTCGTAGCCAAACTAGATCACAATGATTGTGACTGTATCACACTTAGAATATATAAATAAGTATTCCATATTTTTATTTAACGTTCATAATAATATTAAACATTACGTTTTAACGATTAGTATAGAATAGATAGACTATATACTGTTTTATACATATATTATTTTTTCTAACTTAAACTTGACATATTGTTGTAGATGGTAGGTCCACCACTATTGAAAGTAATCCGGCATACGAAATAACCAGTTCTGAACTTTTCGATTTTCCAGCTGTTCTTATGGGTTTTTCCAAAAAATTTTATATTTAAACCATCCCTGATATACCCCCAACAAAACAAAAAAAGACTTATTCTTATCGGTTCAGCCGTTTTTGAGTTTTATATATATATAGATAATAGTGTGTAAATACTTTGTATTATATTCAGCCCTTTTTGACGTCCCACTGCTGGGGGTGGGCCTCCCTTCAATACGAGGGGGATCAGGCCATAGTCCACCACGCTGGCCAAGTGCGGACAGACAGAGCATGTCTTTCGAAAACGAGCTAGATTTTCTCAGACAGGGAGGTTTCCGCACGATATTTTCCTTCGCCGTAAGACAAGTGGTAATTATGTTAGAAATGAATTGCACATGAAACCATCGGAGGTGTGTGACTGGATTGAAAGAGAAATTTAGAGAACCTGCTTCACTTGGTTTGCCAAGCGAGCACGTTAACACTGGGCTACCACTGCATTGTAAATACATTACTTTTAAAAAAGATAAAGTATTTATATATTCGTGTTAAAAACTTTTTTAAGTTTATTAAAAATTCAAAAAACATCGGATAGTTTGCGTTCGTTAGTTCGCGGCTCTTATATACATTACATACTTATTAGAATAGCTAAGTGTGAAACAGTTTAAATAAGCCATAGATTTTTATACGGACTAGATAAAATTAGATTAGCCCAATTAGAAAGTCTAGACTATTCCTGGATTTAGATGAATTCTTTCTCTATAGTTGTTAGATGTAAATATTTATTAGGACAATTGTACCATGCTCTTGAATATATGACAAGTCGTCGTACCTTTAGAGAATTTTATGAAAGTGGTAAAGTTAATAGAATATTTTATAATACTTTCTTAGATTTACATATTTGAAATTTAAATAAAACTATTTTTTCATCATTTTAATTTTTTTTACAAATTTTGTTTTTTAGATTTTTCTTATTAAAATCAAGAAATATTGTAAGATACTTTGGTGCCATTTTTGAATTTTTGAAATAATTTTGTAAAATTGTTGGTAGGCACTGTCTGTAACAAGTATATAACGCCTTTGAGACGACTTAAACCTTAGTCTCTCCCGTGACCATGATTGCTGTAAAGAACTAGTGTGTAGTGGTAAAAAAATTATCTCTAAATCACATTTTATGCTTTTAAATTGTCATATATCTAGTCAAAAATTTGCCAAGGTGACATTTCGCTGACAAGTGACACAGCACGTCATGCACATGTAATTATAACTTTTTGACCTTTTGAAGCCATTAACAAGAAAATTGAATTGAATTGGACTTTTTCACCACAAATCTCATTCGTGTCTTTTACATTCTACGTGACATTGGCGAAGTAATCTGTGCATTAAGAAGAAAATTAAACTTTTTGACCAACTTCAAAAAGGAGGAGGTACTCAATTCGTCAATTTCATGTAGATTACCTACATAATCAACATTACACAATATTTGCGACAGTTAAAACTCTAAAAAGGTGGTTTTATACAAACTTTCATTCCCTATTTTACCACCTTAAGGGGTAAATATCGAATAATGCTAAAACACGTATTTATTTAATTCACTCTCCAGTCCTCCAACTATCTTCACACAAAAAATTACGCCAATCCGTCACTCCGTTTCGACGTGAAAGAAGGACAGACAAACAAACAAACACACACACGTTCTCATTTATAATATTAGTATAGATATACGATTTGTCATATTATTGACGTAAACATTCATAAAGTAACATATTATAGACAATGTGAAAGCAGTTTTGGTACTAATTTGTTGCCATATAAAAATAAAATAACTAAAGAAGCGTCTGCAAACTGCATGTGTGATCTTTATACAGATATATTTAACATTTATTTTTAATTATTGGATTATTTATTTCACTTTATGCTTTATGATATTACAACATAACATCAAAAAATACTTACGTATTTAGCTCTTAAATCAATATTATAAATATTTTTATCATACAGTATTTATTTTGTCATTACTTATGTCTGTACAAAACTCATGCATCTTTTGAACAAGTCGCATTTTTATGTCTTATTAGAAAGATTTTTTTGTATTAAAAACAATATTTGTCAGGATTTTTTCCATTAATTTATTTCCTAATTTTAGGATAAATATTTTTGTCAATTCAAACCTCGTACACTTATGCAACTGTTGTGTAAAAATATTGTACCTAACGTTTGTAAAAAAATTATAAATTCTAAGATGTAATATAAATTGTTGAATTTCGCGAAACTCAAATATAGTTGCATTTATGTACGATTTGAATTTTATGCGAGTGCTTAAAAGAAATTAGTCATTTTTTTTAAGGTCTATGTAAAATATATAGTTAACTGTATCCTCGAGTGGAGTAATCGACCTTTAAGTGGAAAATCGTCTGTCATCGAAGTTCTAGCGAGTTTCATTTATACTTGTTTCTTTGTAATTCTAATAATTACCGAAAAATATAGGTCGATGTAAAAACTACTGCAGTGCAGACTATAATGATGTTAATTGATTTAATTAATTAAAGTTTAATACATATTTGAAAATAAATAGTTAAATTAATTAGAAATATTTAATTTATTCATTTCAATGTTACACGGGAAAAAATTAAACTAAAATCCGAGAAAATGGTTTATTTTATAAGTCAAGAATTTTAATAGGTTATTTATTATCCTGGTATCTGTGGCGTCGCTATGCCATTGCACCCAATGCTGTCGCATGGGCCCCTCGATTTAAGGAGGGCCCAACGAATATTTTGTTTCAAAAAAACTTTCGAAGACAGCTCTCATTAAAGTTTAAGAAAACCGCAAGAAAAAAGTGTCCTCAATTTCCGCTTGTTATTTCATAATAGGCAAAGGGAGGCACTTCCATTTTTTGTGCATTGGGGTCCATATAATGCTAGTTACGCCACTGTCTAGTATATTGTCTGAATTGACGATAGATAGTCTGTAAATGCAGTTTTTTTTATATACTCCACATAACACTGCCAACAGTAATTGTCAAAATGTTTATATAAAAATAAATTTATGTACCTAGAACATTGTTTTATTTTTTGAGATGGATTCGTTCCTGTAAAATTTAAGAATCAAAAGATGTTGCGAACAAAAAAGAAAAGCTGAACAAAACTATGGGGTCGGGTGGACTTTAAGAGTCCACCCAAATGAGGTTAGTGTGTTATATGCTAGGTTATTTAATAAAAGAACAAAATACTTTAAGAGTCCTTTATATTAGCTAGCACCATTTTAACCTTTCCATGTGAGAATATTAACATTGGCATGTGGCGTGAACTATAACTCGCCGGATGCCAATGTTATTTGAGCGCACGTCGCGCCGCGCGCCGCCGGCCGGTAAGTCGATTCTTTTATTAAGGCGCGTACACAACACTTGTATTTTATTAAAATTTATTGTTTTTATGTAATGTCGAGTATTGTAGAAAAGATATAGGTTTTAATTCGATTTTAATTAGAACATATTTGATTAAATTAAGTCGTATAAGAAGAGATGAAAGAATGATTTAAAACAAAATAGTGGAAGTGGTACCTTTAAATTATGAAATAAAACAAAAAAAATACTTAAAATATCAAATTAACTAGCTAATTTAAAGTACCTGCGTTGACCCCGCTCCATGAACGAATTGTCTCTAATTCGTCCATGCCCCGCTCAATGCAAATACCCGTCAAAACCCGCCATCAAAAATCGCCGAAAAGTACCCGACACGTTTGACTCAGTTTGTAGTGACAGTTTGTTGTACTTGCTGTGCTAACGGTCGCGTGTTCGAGTCCCGCTGGGGTCATTCATTCATTTGTGTGATGAGCACGAATGTTTGTACTCGTCATGGCTGTTTATATTTATAATATGTATGTATTTAATGTTATATATGTGTAGTGTATCAACTATCTAGCATCCATAACACAAGCCTCATAGCTTACCATGGAACTAGGTGGTGCTTTGTTGATGTCCCAACATATTATATTATCACAACATTTAGTAAAATTTCTACAAAAATTAATGCTTAATAGGTAATATTTTGGAAATTGAGTAAAAAAATTGAAACAAACCATACATAATAATCAATTATTTATTAGTAGAAGTAGACAAAATACAAAACTAGTTATCATATCTCTATATGAATATAAAACAATATTTTGGTCCTTTTTATTACATATTAAAACACAGTTGAGTGCGCACCACTTCATATTAGTTTAATTAAAATAATACTCTCTTAAAAATAAAAAAATATGTTGTATGCTACATACACATTTAGAAGTAAAAGGAGATTTATGGTATTTTGCGTTGTATGATAAGAATTATTAAACCGTGTAAAAAAATAAGTATAATTCATTTTTAGGGTTCCAACGGAATCAACTAAGCCTCCGTTGTCTGTCCGTCTGTCACAGGGCTGTATCTCATGAACCGTAATAGGTAGAGTTGAAATTTTTACAGTGTATGTATTTCTATTGCCGTTAAAAAAACAAAAAATAAAACTACAATAATCATTTTTTTAACGTTCGCAATCGACTATCGAAGTTAATATACTACATACATAGAGTAAAATTCATATTAATAAAAAGTACATGTACGATGGTACGGGTACCCTTGCATGTGCGAATTCGACTCGTACTTGACCGATTTTTTGAATTTGGAAAACGAATTAGGACTCAAAACTCACTCACTCACTATTGAACTAAGTATATATTGTTGTCAACAAAAAAAAGTGATATCAATTAAGAAGTACTTTAATTGTATGTCACTTTTATTTTTTATTTAACTTATAGTTCACGGGAAGTGGTGCGCGTGATGATAAAAGTATTCGTTAATATTTGATATGATTTGCATATCTATAACTTAAATAGGGAATACGCATGTTATTTTTGGAATTAAGCCTATATCAATATATTTTAATGTAATTTCTTTTTGATCAAGAATATAATAATTAAAAAGTGCAAATATAGGTAGGAAATTCAAAATACTTGAAACGCACGCCATTGGTCAGACCGAATGAGACGTCAAAGTGCTATCATAACAGAGCGATTAGCGATTTTGTCGCTACAAACTAAAGTCACGGTAATATTACATACAGTATTCCATCTTCATAAAAAAGGTCGGAAATTGAGTTATACCTACGCGCGTCGCGGTATACACTCGGTAGACAACCGTGCGGGGCTGCCAGATCGTAGAATTGGATACGAAAATTGTATAAGGTGGTTATGTTATGTAACTTTTATAATTTAATATAAAAATAAACTTTTTATTCCTCCCGTAACTTTGCTAATGTCAAACAAAAAAGTATCGAGACATCGTATGTTAAAAAATAAAAATTAATTAATTAAATTAAAAATAAAAATTAAAGTTTTTATCTGAATGCGGATTCTTTATAATATTAAATTTATCAATAAAGCGTACGTCTCAGTCGAGGCGCAAATGTTTTCAAATCTCAAATTTATAGCAGCCCTGTCGCGTGGGTACGTGCGCTCGGCTGAAGGTAATTATTTCAAGGACAGGCCCGACTTGGAATACTGTATGCATTACATTACCATGCTAAAGTCGTCTTTTTCTATGTATGATACTGTGACGTCACGCCAAGCGCGCGAAATGGCGGGCGTTTAAAGAATCCGTATCGGTATGACATTTAAAAAAATGCCTTCTATACTAAATTTTAGTTTTTTGGAGCTAGATATTTTTCTTACAATTATATAACGATGTTACCTATTGTATAAATAAAAAAAATTATGCATATTCCCTATTTGAATATTCTATTATTACTATTCCATAATAAAAACATGACTTTTAATTTTTTTTTAAATGCCATTACAATTTCTAGAACACAGTAAAATAAAATAATAAGTACGAGGGTTAAAATTTTCAAACAAATACCTGTTCATATAATCTAATACACATATAGATACGTATGTATGTATGTATGTATATGTGTTACTTTATATTTTATTACGAATACCCTGTGTTGTCACTAACCGTGCAAATATTTTTTAAATCTAGATATAATTACATAGGAAATGTATAAAAATTAATAATAATATATATCAATAAATTTTTTAACCGACATCAAAGAGGAGGAAGTATGTTCTGTACATTACACGATTTTTCGCTAATAGGGAATATGCGTGTGATTTGAATAAAAGTGTAATATTTTTTTATAACCTTTATTGCTTCTAAAATGAGCCTATATCATTTTTTTAATTTTATTTCTTTTTGATTAAGAAAATAATTATTAAAAAGTGCAAATATAGGTGGTAAATTCAAAGTAGTTGAAACGCAACACCTTGGTCAGACCGAATATGACATCAGAGTATATCAAAATAGAGTGCGGTTTTTTTTGTTTGCGATTGTTACTAACACAACTACAATATAGACCAGTTCATTCATTGATTGTAATGTTGTCATAGCATATGACGTCACGCAATGCGCGCCAAAATGGTTGGCGTTTAAAATAGCCGTATCTGTATGATATTTTTAAATTACTTTTTCTATAATAAATTTTAATTTTTTTGGAGTTTTTTTTACAATTATATAACGATGTAAGATACTGTATAAAAAATCAAAAAATCACGCATATTCCCTATAATGTAAACTGATTTTCATATGTAATTTTTTTTTAATAAAATTATTTTATTATATTATTAAAACTAAGGATTCATAATTCTTAATTTAATACTATTAAGTAATTTTGAAGTCGGTGTACTTTTTCTGGTCATTGCCAGCAGGACAAGAAAAATCTAAAATTTGGCCGAACGTCACGTTCAAAACAATAAAATATTTTCAAAGAAATATCTAATGAGTAAATCAAATATAACATTCAAATGAATAAATCAAATAGGTATATCATTTTTTTCCTAATTACTTAAATCTTTGATATTTTAATGTTTTGTTATTGTAAATTAAATCCAAAATGGCGCTACAAAACCTCTTGTCATTAAATATAGAATATGACCGTAATAAAAATAACAGAATAATCATTACTTAACTTTATAATTTAAACTGACATTTCAACACCTGCAAAGAACAACGCTGTAGCCCAGTATTGGGATAATTTTAAAAATAGATTACGTAATAATATTGTATTTGAATTCCAAATTCAAAATTTCTACCAAACTGAGTTACAACGTTATTCTTTGCAGTACAAAATATAAATGTCATCGGTGGTCTAAGTGTCACTGATATTACGGGCCTTAGAAGCTGCCGTTTACGACTGTACCTACTTATAAATTGCAAAATTAAACTCAATCAGATCAAACAAAATAAATGATAACTATCCAACCTAATAACTTTAAACAATACAACTAATAAACTATTTTAATATTTATATAAAATAAACAAATTACTTAACAATGTCCACTGAATCTATAGCGCTATATTTACGCTACTTTCCTTACAATTATAACACCACCAGCTATATAGACATATTGACTCTACAATGAATATCAATAACAGAATAATATTAACATAATTAAAAAAAACAGGCTATGAATAATTACAATATATGGGACTAAAAACAATATTCTAACTCGAAAGTTTATTAGATTTCACATCGATAAGAGGATCGATAAGAAGGTGAAAAATGCTTAAAAAAATTAAAAGTGACATAATGCTTTCGATACATTTTTATTACTGTATATAATTTTGCCTTGCTCGCTGAACATAGCGATATAAATGCAGTGGACAGTCCATTAAAAATCACAACTTTAATGAAAAAATATATTTATTCAATAATAATCAATTAATATTAATTAATAGTGGCAGATTCAAAATCGCCTTTGTCGAGGTGTCGCTGAGCTTTCGGCTCGTAAATGAGCATGGACGTACGGCCAGGGCTTGTTTTGTGACGTTGCATATCTAAAATTTGGGACATTACAAATTATATAATTGTAATAAAATAATGTTGGAACCGATTCCGACCATGGAGGCCAATCTCACAGAGAATAAACTAACTCTTGCAAGAGATTTTGTAGTTTTTGCTTGGGGGAAAAACTAATTTTACAAAACCCGAGAACACAAACAAATTACAATAATTAATACGCCTGCGACCACCGATCAAAAAAGTACTAGATACACAATGTCATGTAAGAATAATTACCTAAACACTGGTGACAGTACCTATTAAACTGGTGACAGTTTTAAGAGAACTATTGCATGGGATTGTGTATCTAGTACTTTTTTGATCGATGGGCTTAAGCCCATATTAAGATTTAACTCAAAATCGGGGTTTTACGGTCACTGGAAGAAACATTGAATTCTTAGTAGTTAGTACACAAAACAAAAAAAAAACATTCAATAATGCTTATAATATTTAAATTAAACTAAAACACTTACAACGTAAACTCAGTCTCCGTTTGTGCTGCCCGCACAGTTCCAGCTGCCGCCGCACCAGCTGCGAGGCGGACGCGGGCCGGGTCGTGTCGGAAAGCGGGGGCTTGTTCATATGCTCTGTATGGGTTAAGGTTGTTATTATAATACCTTAGGTTATAGCAATTTTGGCGCGGATCTCTAATTTTGTTGTAAATAAAATATGGCCCATGTTACTCGCTGATAATGTAGATTTTGATAGGTGAAAGAATTTTTAAAATTGGTCCAGTACTTTTTTAGTTTATCCATTGAAAAGAAACAATTTTTTCTCTTTATAATATTAGTATAGATTATAGAATATAGCAATCATTTATTGCTGACTAAATCCATAGTAATATTATAAATGTGAAAGTTTGTGAGTACGGATGGATGTTTGTGACTTTTTCACGCCAGAACGGCTGAACGGATCTGGATGAAATTTGGCACAAAGATAGATTATAGTCTGGAATACAACATAGATTATTTTTATCTCAGTTATGTTTGTCCGAACCGATGCGAGGGTGAGTCGCTAGTCACCTATATATGCAGAGTAAAACTAAAAATAAAAAATACAGTTTAAATTGAGAGTAATTAATTATTATAGAATAATAGGTACATTCATTCTCCCATACTGCTTATTGGGAAAGGAGATGGATGGGGAGGTAGAGGAAAACCAAAGCAAAGATGGATAGATCGTGTGAGACAGGACATGGAAAAGAACGGGGTGAATGAGATGATCGGTAATAAGGGAGAGAGGAAGACGTACTGTGTCGACCCCAAGTCATTTGGGAAATGGGCAGGGATGATGATGAATACATTCATTCTCCCGTTAATGAACAGACAGCCAGTACGAATAAACCATACAGTCGAAGTTACTACTAACTGCTCTGAGTATTGCATTATTAGATCTGCCGAATGTTCCACAAAGTAGCAAATCGCTTTCTCAATATCGCATAAAGTTTTATTTTGATTAACAGATGACACGAACAACCTATCTATTAGTAGTTTCTCTTACAGTTGATTCTTGTAATCTATACATATAATAGAATTGTAACCAAGCTGAATCTGTACATTAAATATTTTTTGGAAAATCTTATTGAAATAGATATTATATTATCAATACAGAGGCCGAATCTACAGTTTTTAGAATTTTTGTCTGTCTGTTACCGCATCACGGAAAAACCAATGGAGGGATTTTGATGAAATTTGATATGATGATAGCTGGTTATCCGGGTCAACATTTTGGATATTTTTTACTGCGGGAAAATATCTCATATCTGAGAAATCTATACTAAACGTTAAAACGTAAGTAAGGGCGAACCCAAGCGGTGCGAGGGTGAGTCGCTAGTCTATTTATAATTTCCCTCATAGATAACCCTGATAATGTTATTTGTATTAATTCTCATTCCGTAATAAAATTAAAGAAAATATGTCCGTCTGGGTTTTTTTGTTTTAACTTACACAAACGCGAAGAGTATTTAACTACCTATGTATTATTCTCTGAAAAAGCTACGTCGTAGGATACAAGTCAATGACAAAAATTCTAGTATTAACTGAAAAATACTATATACAAACACTAGCGAGTTTTGAAGTTTAGTATAGATTTCTCAGAGATGAGATATTTTCCCGCACTAAAAAGTATCCTATTGACCCGGATAAACAGCTATCATCATACAAATTTTATTAAAATCTATCCAGTGGTTTTCTTGTGATGCGTTCCCAAGCCCAGTTCACGTTCCCAGCTTCAATCATCATACTTGATCAAAATCTGTCCAGTACTTTTCTCTTGATCCAAAAAATATTTTTTGTACAGATTCGACTCAGAATTTTATAGATAAGGGATGATTACTTACATAGTTTAAAAAAAACATTACGAATAAAGTTTAGTCTTTAGAGAAAAATATAACTTTTGTCCAAGTGAAAAGCTTTAATGGGATACATATAAAAACCTAGTTTCTATTTCAGTTCGCATTTAAAATGTACTGGATAACAAATTGTTATAAATTAATGTTGAATAAAATATTTTGAATCTATATTTTAATATATAAAATTACCATATCACGGTGTTGGTCCGCGATAAATTCCGAAACTACTTAACCGATCTTTATTTCATTTAAATGTGTAATTTGTTCCAACTTAAAAGATAGGATAGTCTTTATCCCGATTGTTTTGTTTTGTTTTGTTTCCTTCGTGTCTTTGACAAAATCCGAGTGTAGGACTGAGAAATACTAGCATTTTATTTGACGGTCTGATCATTCAATTATGCATATTTTTAATAATAAATACTATAAAAATCAGCCGGTTAATAATAAATTTTATGACGTTATTTTAACGTCACATTAATCGTCCGTGAGAAGTTCGCAGAGGGGGACGATTTGATCCAAACTATTTGTTTTTTTGTATTGAATCGAGGGTGTATGCTCCTTAAGGACTCCAAAACGGCTGGAGTGATTTTAATGAAATTTTCAATCTTCAGATTAGCCCAGTGGATGATGGTGGTGCATGGATAGATGATCCTATGCAGTTGAATAGCGATCGACAGTTTGAACGCGGGCAAAAAAAAATAACGAGTTCTTTACAAAGATCAAAATTTAAAACAGCCATGCACATCAAGTAAACAAAAATCTTGAAAAAAACCTAATTACATTACCTCGTTCCGTCAAAACAATCTCCCTGTGGTTTTGTGCTAGTTCTTGATCGTTTACGAGGACGCGATGTTTCAAATCGGGTATCCAGATTCGATTCTCGTCTAAGGTTGTTTCTTTTGTTTCTTGCATCGAAGTATTTTGGCTCGATTGGGACGTCTATTTAAACAAACATGTATATAATAATATTTTAAGTCTACACGAAAAGGTCATTTGAAATGATTAAAAAAATGCAAGTATTATACTTAAATACCACAACTTTTTAATATTTTTTTATTTTTACACGGGTTTATTATTTTTATTTTGAATTTGTTTCCTGTCTTTAGAATGCTTACAAGAAACATGGTCGCATAACAAAATAAAATTCGCGTAAATCGAAGAAAGCATGACAACGTACATAGATATTTAATTTTGCGTTGCAATAATTGTTATATTAGCAGACTGTGCCGGATTTTCCCTGTTTTTATTTTTAAAGACTTCATTTTTCTGACTTTTTTGACACATTAAAAAAAGGGGCAGTGGAGGTAACGGTGGTGGGGTATAAAATGCCGATGCTGTGTCATCTCAAATAATGAACCGAATAAGATCCTTTTCTATTAATAATATTTATATGTAAAATTAAAAAAAAAAAGATGGCCATTTTACTTAAAAAATGTATATATCATATTGTATAAATTCGAAAAGAATGTTAGGAATATTGAGTCGTATTAAAACCCCTCTATAATAATGTAATATCGTAAACTAACTTAATATTTACGTTCATTTTACAATTAACTCACCTTATTTTTATACGAAGGGCTCGATTGTGGTCGATTCTTAAAATCGATATGATTGACACCTCCCTTCCTTACAATGGGGGACAATTTCTTAAACTCATTTCTCGGTTCCAATTCGATTTTCACACTTTCCGTTGTCGAATTACTCGCTCGCCCAAATAGAGGCGACAATTTAGATCTCACTCCACTCGTATTCGTATCTGTAGTAGTATCGTTTTCTACACTCTCTATAGTAATCGTTGAATCGACACTGTCAGGTTTTTTAATCGGTTTTACAATGATGACTCCAGCATCTAAATTATTATCAACTTCCGATTTTTTCATTGTATAGTTGGGATTTTCAAAACCAGTCTGTGTTGCTATATCGTCACTAATTGCTGTGAAAGTTTGAGAAGCTCTGTTTGATGATTTACTTAGCATTCGCTTGCGTCTTTCCAATTCTGCGTGTATGTCCGTCTGTACGCGTAAGTTTATATCTCCGTAACGGCGTACTATGTAATTTAGGAGCCATTGATAGCCTTTTCTCAAGCCAGGATCGATTTTAGGTTTTTTTGACTTAGGATCGTGGGGACTAGCGCTGTAGGATTCTACTAATGTCGGACATCTATATCTAAAAATTGTAGGGAAAATATGCGCTAACTATTTACATATTAATCATACAATTAAATAACTTCCGTCAAAACACTCGCCCAGTAAAGACATGCACGTTTGATCTCGGTAGGTGTTATTTTTATAAACGTAAAAGCTTACTTAGTTTCGAATTACCCAAGAACTAACATTCTGATGAAATATTAATTGAAGGAGAAATTGCCAAAATTTTAAAATAAAATCCAGTTGGACAAACATTTTGCCGACACGTTTGACTCAGTTTATAGTGACGCTACTTGCTGTGCCAGCGGTCGCGGGTTCGTATCCCGCTGGGGGCATTTTTTTGTGTGTTGAGCACGAATGTTTGTACTCCAGTCATGGGCGTTTATATTTATAATATGTATGTATTTAAAGTTACATATGTGTAGTGTATCAACTATCTGGTATCCATAACACAGGCCTCGTAGCTTACCATGGAACTAGATGGTATGTTACTGTCCCAACATATTCATTTATATTTATTTTGGGAAAGAATGACAGTTGATAGGGACTAGTTATGGTTTAATTACTAAAAAATATGAGTATTTTGTTGAAAAAGGAGGGACGAATTCTGTGATAAAAAATGTAAATTTCATGTTTAACGTAATAATATATGCTATGTAATTTACCTCAAAGAGTCTTATAAAGTAAATATATAAAGTATCTACAAAAAATCATATTTTTGTATGCAAATCAATACTTTTAAAAAGTTTGACAATGTAGATGACAATGCAGTAAATTGGTTCTATCGATCTGATATTATAATAGATCCAGATGACAATTGTCTCACGATCTGGGATTATCATTAAATGATTAACTAAGCATTAGTTCCCTTGAGCATATTTTAGTTATTCTGTGGCTATCGCAGATACATACGTACCTATTAACCAATGGTTCAATATTAAGCTTATCCACCACGTCTATGTCATCTAGAGCACCACTTTTATCTTGCTTATTAGCCAATACAAGAACTGGTTTACCTGAATTGGAAGTGTTTTATTAAATTAAAAAAAATCTGCCAGTAACTTAAAGACGTGAACAATTATTTCATATTTTTATACAAATGTATAATCTACTATTATTAATTATGGTTTTAAAACAGGCACATTATTTATTTATTACCGTTTGCACGCCGATAAGAAAATTTTAATTAAAAACATAAACATGATAAAGTTGCTAAGTAACCACTCACCAGATATTTTGTTGTGTGATAAAACCTCTTCTAAAACCGATTTGCATTCTTCCAACCGTGAAAAATCACTTGAATCGATAACAAAAATAACACCATGCACTTCGCTATAATATTGGGACCATATTTGTCTGAACTGAGGACCGCCGCCCAAATCATAAATAGTAACAGGTGTATCCTTATGAATTAGGTTTACAGCTTTAAAACCAACAGTGGGCAAAACTTTATCATCGTTTTCTCCAGCTAAATTATTCACCGTTTTTGTTTTACCCGCGTTGTCTAAGCCTATTAGAATTAAAACTATATGTCGACGTATACGACGCCGACGGCATAATCTAATGCAATTACCCATTACTGCAAACTAAAATACAAAAATTAAAACTAAATAATATTTTTCACATTGCAAACGAAGTACGCAACTTCAAATTTCTTGCCAGCCGCCATTCACGATTTTCGTAAACATAACTTTTTTGTTGACACAACGGTTACCAATGGCGATCGAGCACGATGTGGCCAGTATCTACCTACTATCTACTGTCTGACGTCTGTGTCTGAACTCTGTAGCAATATACTCTATGCTGAACTCTGATTCTTTACTCTGAACATGGATGACAAATAAAAATTCTGAATTATTAAAGGAGGTAGGTATATAATAATATATTTCCACCTATATTGTCATTACTGTAAAAGTTTAAGTAAAAAATCTTTTTACTTAAAACCTTTATTTAATTATTTATTTATTATATATTATTGTTTTGTAAAATATTTAATAATAATAATTTAAAAGAAATGAAATAAATGAGATACTTTGACTTTAAAGAATTTGACTTTTTTATTATTTCAACACGTAGAGAAAAAATGTTATCTTCCGGGAATTCAATAGTAACGTAATCTAGGAATATATATTTTGAGTAATGTAATATATTAAATACGTAATATTTTTTTCAATGAAAACACGTAAACAAACAAGGCTTTTCTGAAAAGGTTACCTACTCATTTTGAAGGTTCGTCGCAAGGTTACAGGTGTTATTTTCAATATTTTATTTGCATTATAAAATGTCGATAATCTCACTTATTGTAATAATTATAATAACATACCATGATAACTTATTATTCAATTTTAGTAATATAATTATTAAATTTCATACTTTTAATTTTATTTAACTAGACTTGCGTGACTTTTCTCTCTTTAAAAATATTATTCAAGGTAGGTACCAAAAATATTATTTTTATATTTTTTAACGGTTAGTATGATTTCTCAGAAATGAGATATTTTTCCGCAGTAAAAAGTTTCCTTTATGTCGACGCAGATAACTAGCTATCACCATACCAATTACCAAATATCAAAATTCCTCCAGTAGGTTTTCCGTAATTTTCATAATTCATTTGATTTTCACAGATAGACAAACAGACCAAAATTCTAAAAACTATAGATTCGACCTCTGTATCGATAATTATATATTTCAATAAGATTTTCCAATAAATATATAATGTACAGATTCAACTCAATTATTTTATTATATGTAAGTATCTATACTTACATATAATTATTATGACTGGGAGTAATAATATAGATGGGAGGGTTTAAATAAAAGTAATTTTTAAAAATACATAGTGGACATATTTTATTTGTCAAAATATTCGCAATAAATACAGGTACAATTTTTCAAGTTTATTTACAAAGCTGGACTCTTTAAATAACACAATACATATTGAGGGTCTAATAATTACGTCAATTATAATGCTAATTCAACACATTAGGTCAAAATTTTAAGCTTTTTAATATTTAAAGATGAAATTTTGCATGAGATCAAATATGTAATCATAAAAAATCATGACCAATTTTATACTAAGCATATTAAAGTATTTATTCGTAAAAGTCTTTTACGATAATACAATTAACCCAATGTGTAGATCCAGCGTAATATTACAGCCAGTGTTGCCATTGTAAAAAATGATTATCTGAATCTGATTAGTATGACATCACCATTTTGAATAGAAAAGTAAGCTAAATCTTTCATGACATTATCCAAAGCTATTTCTGCTCCTTGCATATTATCGTCCAAGAGAAATAATGTTGGATATCCAGTGTTGCCTTTGAAAAGTCTTTGAGCCAGTGTCACCAGTTTCTGTACAGCCATTGTGGATGGAAATTTCTTTTTGAGAACTTTACCGTTTTCATCTTGTAGTGTTATTTCTAGTAGTTGTGAAGTGAGAGTTGTTGTTTTTGATTTTTTGACTAGAAGGCTGTCGTCTGGGATACCATATTCTACAAATAATAAACGACTATATTAAAAATAGTGTCACCTTACATTTAAAAATAGATCGAGAGAAAAAATTATATAAATATTAGGTTTTAATAAAAAAAAAAATATCAGTTACAAAGTTTGCTTTAGTCATCATATACTAAACAAAAGATTGAAGAATGATGATGAATGAAGAAGAAAATTATATTACAAAATATAATTTTTCTATAGGTTTTTTAAAATTTTAACACTAGACTAATGCCCAATTTCACCAACAACCCATAAGCTACCACCTACGTATGGGATCCCTAGCTTATAAGTCCCCTAAACTAGCCCCTAAATTAAATTTCGTTTTACCATCGTCAGAGACCGTATTTCTAGTACCTATATTTAGGTGGCATTTTAACATTTAGGTGACCCCTAACTGTCGGTGAAACAGAAACTGTCCCCTAACAGCCCCCTAACTATGCTTAGGGGATCCCTTAAACTTAGGTGACGTTGGCGAAATCGGCCATAATACTTTTTGTAAAGGTTACTTTTTGTAAGGTATGTAATTATTAAGGTTTTCATGTATATATTAATTGTGCTGTCTTTTGTTGTAGGTACAATATTTATAAAAGATTTACTCCCTCTTTTACACATTATAATATAATATAGTTCAATATTATACCAGCCAATCTCCTTTGTGTCTTCTCCATTCTACACAATATTGGCAAAGTAATCTGTGCTTTGAAGCCAATAACAAGAGAATTAAATTAAATTGAAATTTTAACATTTCATATCGTGTTTTGACTCGGACATTAATAGATTAATAGAAACTATATTAAAATTAATAAGTAATAACAGTACAGTTGTACTCACTTTCAATAAGCTCTTGGAACCTGCAGTGCTCTATATCGAAAGCCATTTTCCGTAGTGGGTCACTTTGTACTAATTTCCATTCGGCGCCATATCGTTTCATATAGTCATATTCCGCCCCACGACGTAGTTCACGAGTTATTAGAGAGCCGTTTAGTTCCTGAAAATATATATTATAACTAGCAGTAATTAAGGCAGAGGCAATCCAGTAAGGGTGGTAGCCCAGTGGTAAAGTGCTCGCTTGGGAAACCGAGTGAAGCGGGTTCAAATCACCGGGTCTCGCGCCTCTGATATTTAATGTGCGAATCATTTCCAAAATTATTACCACTTGACTTAAAGGTGAAGGAAAACATCGTGACGAAACCCGCATATCTGAGAGAAACTAGCAAGTTTTCAAAAGACATGCTCAGTCCGCCCACACTTGGCCAGCGAGGTGGACTATGGCCTGATCCCCCTCGTATTGAAGGGGGGCCTAACCCTAGCAGTGGGACGTTAAAAAGGGCTGAGTACAAACATTATAACTAGCGACATACACCCACTTCGTTCGGGGTCGTCCCTAGGTAAGTTTTAATTTTTTTGAACGGAACCCTAATGGCTAATTCTTTTTCTATGGTATGGTGTTTCTTATTACATAGTGCACTTAGGCCCTAATAATAATAACAACATTCAATTGAAAGTAATTGTGACGGTTATTTTGTAGTTTTAATTTAATTTTTGTAACCAATTTGAATGCTTTACAGCCAACATGGTCATGATCCCCAAAAAATGAAAAAATACGAAATAATAGTTATAAGTAAAATATTAAATAATAAATATTCATGAAAATATAGAAGAAAGTACTGCATTTAATTGATTAAGTCACCTGCAGTTTGCCGATTTTCGCTATAATCATCTGAGATCCAGTGTCGTAGTCTTCGAGGTTCTGCACGGGGTTCTTTAGGAAGTACAGCTTCTTGAGGGATTTCAATTTGTCCAACTCACTTACAGATCGCCACTGAAAATAAAACGAGGAGGATATAGCTTAACCAAACTCAACGGAAGACGTTAGAGGAAGCCTGTGTCAAGAGGTACACCGACCTGCGAGACATCATAATACATAATAATAAATAAAACCTACTCTGTAAAGCCACACAAACTTACAGTTCGGAATACAGGCCTAAATTATAATTAATAAATCAAGGCCAAAATGAATTGAACAGTAGACCGGAAGCTATTCAGTTTCTTTGTATGGGATGGTATCTGTGGTATTAATAAAAGAAAATATACTTACATCATTAATCCTATTTCGGTTCAAGAACAAAATTTCCAAATTTTCAAATACATCCACTTTGGCATTACCGGGATCATTGTTGAATTTAATTTCTTCAATAGCACAGTCGTTGAGGCTTAACACTTTCAAGTTTTTCAACATGCCCAGATTAATTACTTCCTTCCATGAATCTATGGGATTTCCATCCAATCTTAACGTGGTCAGGGTTTGTAAAGTGACTTTGGGTGCAGTTATTTTTTTAATTCTGTTATAAGCTGCAATGAGTTCTTCGATGTTCGGCCATAGGTGTGATAGAGCAAGGAGGTCCGACCATTCGTAGTCACATACGGAAATGTTTAATTTTTCCAAATTTGCAAAATTAATTGATAGTTGATTCAATGTTTCTTCTGGCATATCGATTGCCATGCGGTTTTTGCTGAAATTATGCAAGTTTAACTATATTTTAGGTCTCACAACCTTAAGGGATGATTTCCAGTATCCATGTCCTTGCCGGGGTCTCAAACTATCTTTATACAAAATTTTATCTTAATAGGTTCAGTGGCTTTTTAGTTTATTTATTACAAACAAACATACAAAAAAACAATATTTTTCTCTTTATAAAAATCAGTATAGATGAAATTCATATCTACAGATATTATATATAAAACAAATTCGGGTTTGTTACAACACGTATAACTCGAGAACGTCTGGACCGATGTTTATGATCTTTGTTTTGTTGGATTTGTGGAGCAGAATAACTACTAAAACATCGGAAAAATTCACGAATAAAAATTAGCAAAAAATTTTTTTTCCATTCTAAGCGGTAAAACGATATTGGGGACGAACCAGAGCGAAGCGAGGGTGAGTCGCTAGTTAAATAAGCTGATATATTATTATTTTGTCTAAACATCTCAACAACAATAATCTCTCTTGAATATTAGTCAGGTTTGAAAAAAAAGTCTATTTATTAAGAAACGTTAAATGCTAACATTACGCTACCGTTAGAAGCGCGACTACACGAGTGAAGCAACTGGCATAAGCTAGTATTAAACATCTATAGAAGATATTTGTTACACATAATAAACTCTTACCTAATACCACGGTAATATTACATACAGTATTCCATCTTCATACAAATGGTCGGAAATCGAGTTATACCTACGCGCGTCGCGGTATACACTCGGTAGACAACCGTGCGGGGCTGCCAGATCGTAGAATTGGATACGAAAATTGTATAAGGTGGTTATGTTATGTAACTTTTATAATTTGATACAAAAATAAACATATTATTCCTTCCGTAACTTCGCTAATGTCAAACAAAAAAGTATCGAGACATCGTATGTTTTAAAAATAAAAATTAATTAATTAAATTAAAAATAAAAATTATAGTATTTTTAATTAAACTTTTTATCCGAATGCGGATTTTTTATACTATTACATTTAAAAATAAAGTTTTTCGTACGTCTCAGTCGAGGCGCAAATATTTTCAAATTTCAAATTTATAGCAGCCCTGTCGCGGGTACGTGTCGCTCGGCTGTAGGTAATTATTTCAAGGACAGGCCCGAGTTGGAATACTGTATGCATTACATTACCGTGCTAATACTTTCTTAGATTTATGTGAGTATTTGACATTTTCTGTAAAGCTGTAAAGTATTCTAAACATTGTGAAACAAAATAGACGACACGTTTGGCTCAGACTATAGTGACCCTACTTGCTGTGCCAGCGATCGCGGGTTCGAGTCTCGTTGGGGGCATTCATTTGTCAGATGAGTACGAATGTTTATACTCTAGTCATGGGTGTTTATACATACATACATGTACAAATCTTCATAATATGTATGTATTTAAAGTTATATATGTGTAGTGTATTAACTATCTGGTATCCATTACACAAGCCTCGTAGCTTACCATGGAACTAGATGGTGCTGTGTGTCCCAACATATTTATTTAAAAAAAAAACGAAAAAATAGTTTTATTTAAAACGCTTACCTAACATCCAATTCCCTTAGATCAGGTAGCTGAGCAGACAGTTGTATGATTTCCCTCCAATTAGAGAACAGATTTTGAGAAATATCAAGACTTCGCGCATTCGGACATAATGTGGCCACATTGCCCGCTTTAGATACGTTTTGGTCGTGCACGCAAACTTCTAGAAGACGGTCGAACTTTCTAGAAATAATAAATATATATGTATACATAGGGCAAATGTTGAAGACAAGACTTAAAAAGAATCGAGGTTAAAGAATAAAAATATTTACGATATTTAGTCAAGTGTGAGTCGGACTGGCTGGAAAATAACTAAATAATGTTTTTGTAAGAAAATACGTATCTTCCTGTAGTTTCTTACACAAGGATAATTAAAGTTTCCCGTAATTTGTATAGAGCTTATGTCAAGCTTTATATCTAGTATTTTGATGGGAGTTTCACTGGCAGATAGTTGATGTTATAAGGCGTATGTTCAATGTTCGTTCAATTTGTGTGCGTTTACTTTTTTTACTTAGTCTACTTCTATTTCAGAATAAGAATCAGGGTTGCGCGCAAAAAAATTAAAACCCATGAAATTGTTAATAAAATCCGGACGCACCCGAGTGAGGGTAAGTCGCTAGTTTATAAAATACTAGCAGAACCCGCGGCTTCGCTCGCGCTAAAACTACAGAAAAACTCTAAAAGGGTAGTTTTCATACAAACTTTCATCCTCTATTTTACGCCCTTATGGAATGAATTTCAAAAAATACTTTAATACCAAGTTTCAAGTAATTCTGATCACAAATATTTTTTTGAGTTGTATTATAACGTGTTTTCCCGTAGGAAAGAGATTAATCTTCCGAGGTAAAAAGTAGCCTATGTCACTCTCCAGCCCTCCAACTATCTCCACACCTAAAAATCACGCCAATCCGTCACTCCGTTTCGCCGTGAAAGAAGGACAAACAACCAAACAAACTAACTAACACACTTTCACATTTATAATATTAGTATAGATTTGTTTCCAAAGTCAGCAAATAAATGTCATTACATGACAAGATCTTATTTAATTCTTGCAATATAAAGCTATTCATGCCTTTTCAGGGCAAATAAACTTGAGGTATGATAATTTATAAAATATCTATGCAATTTATTTTAATAGCTTTTGTTTAACTTGCAATGTTGTTCAAAACCTCCAGGTAAATTTGTAAGAAATTAATTAAAATTCTAAGAAATCTATTGTTTTCACTGAAGTAAATTTTTGAGGTCTATTCTGTACACAATATTATATTTCAATTACAGATTTCGCTTTGTTAGTATGTATATTTTATTATATACGTATAGACTATATAACGATAGCTATATGTAGATATATATGTATAACTGCCTCAGTGGTATAGTGGCATGTAGTAGCATGTACGGCTACACACCCGGAGGTCCTGGGTACGAGTCCCAGGTCGGGCCAAGTTTAGTTATTGAGTGTTTTTGTATAGTAAGCCTCAGTAACAGCTCGGAGATGGGAAGTCGGCGGTGTTTCGTTGTAAAGCTGTCGGTTCTACGCCTTAACTCTCACTGGTCGTGTCGAGTAGTCGTTCCACCGGAGTATGAGAGGAATAGAGAGTGCACTTGTGTCTGCGCGTATACTTGTGCACTATAATATCTCCTGCGCAGTTGGCTAGTCTCAATGAGATTGGCCGCCGTGACCGGAATCGGTCAGGAGGACCTTACATAATATTATGTATATTATGTAAATATTACTAGAGTATGTAATTACTGCATCGTAATATGTTTGATGTGATGTTCATCATAATATTTATTATATCTAATGCTACATTATTGTTGAAACTTACTGCTTTTGGTGTATCTTCTCAAAGCCCACCATCTCTATAAAGGGTGCACCCATTTCTCTCTTCCATTCATTGATGATAGTCCTACGATGTGCTGCTACTGTTTCATCCTAAAAAGAATTTCTGATGAAATAATTGGGTATTAATAAAATAAATAAATATGTTGGGACATTAACACACAGCACCATCTAGTTCTATGGTAAGCTACGAGGCTTGTGTTATGGATACCAGATAGTTGATACACTACACATATCTAATTTTTAAAAATTTAAATACATACATATTATAAATATATATACATTCATGTTCTTCACAAAAATGAATGCCCCCAGCGGGACTCGAACCCGCGACCGCTGGCACAGCAAATAGGGCACAGTAACTGCAAACTGAGCCAAGCGTGTCGTCGGCATTACGAGTAATTCCATAGTAAAAAATATGTAAAAATATGTAAGTAGTTAAAAATATGGTCCTATAATTTTAACAAAATTTAAATAAATTGTTTTAGTGTGTGAATTCGACCAATAAAAAAGTATAGACAGGACATTGCGCACATAAAGTGAGGCACGTAATATGAATTATTAAGACGATTCAACCATATGAAGCCGGCCGCTCGGTAGTCTGCCGCGAGTGAGTGAGAGCGCGTGACGTACTTTTGGTGAAATAATAATTGAGAAATTATGCCGTCCTGTGTCATAAAATGCTGCAAAAACAATTCATGTTTTCAAAAAAAGTCTTCTGGGATTACCTTTCACAAGTAAGCAACTGATTTCCTGTATAATTTAAACAAAATCGCAAAAATATTTGACTTGATTCTCTGAACACGAATTGTAGACGCCATTGTATCAGTGTTGCAAGTTAAGAACATTATCTTTTCCCAAAAGTAAGGGAAGTTGTGATTTTCGTACGGACACGTTACAACTGTCTTTTTAAATCTTATTGTTGCATATTTTAGTTTCTGAGTATATTAGGTATGTTATTATACGTAAGTGTTTATAAAATAATATATTCAAATAATAGTTATCTTTGATATGATATATTTTAGGTTCCCAGCTGATACAAAGTGGAAAGAAATTTGGATTAAAGCTGTACGGGACAACAGAAATGATGTCGAGTGGCTCCCTTCAAAATTTAGTGTTGTTTGTTCATTGCATTTTGATGAAATTTATATATACAACACTAAAGGTGGTTACCGTCGAATCAAGAAAAACGCTATACCAAAAAAGGTTGGTTATTTTTTATTATTGTTATTGTGGTTATTTTATCATTGTTAATAAAAACTTTATCTTATTCTAAAACACTGATATTTTATTTTCTAGCTTCACCTTGTAAATTCCGAGTGGTGCCATGAAATAGAAGCATCTGGTTCTATTCATCCTAAATCTCCAACACTGGGTCTTAATACAGAGGTTTTTGCCTACTTGAATTATTTTTATCAGTACCTATGTGTAATTTTACCTCAGATATATTTATATAAATCTAAATAACCAAATTTCTTTATTGTTTAAGCACTGTAAGGAGGAAGTTGACACAGCTGGTACTTTTGGCGATACATCAGATAACCTTACGGAAGATATTTCAAAACCACAAGATGATATCTCAGACTATCAACGTGAAAACAGTGATTCCGAAATAGACTCAATATTTGACACTCCCCAAAAACATAAACTCAGACAACAAGCTAGAAAGTATAAATTACGTTGTCAAATTAATGCACGCAAAATCAAAACACTGAATCAGAAGGTTAAACGCCTTAAAAAGAAAAACGCGTCACTAAAAACTGTTCTAAAAGACTTAAAAAATAAAAATGATATAGATACTGACATATTCAATATGCTCGGTGAAAACATTGTTGCAGCAGAAATATGTCGTATCATAATCAAAAAGAAATTAGGAGCGAAAAAAATCAAATATTCGTCCGCGATGACAAAGTTTTGTCTCACACTCAACTTTTATTCACCGAAAGCCTATGAATATGTGCGACAAACCTTCCGAACATGTCTGCCACACTCTAAAACTTTATCTAAATGGAACGCTCGTATTAAAGTTAAACCTGGTTTACAGAAGTAGCTTTTTAGTTGTAAAACAAAAGTCTGAAGTAGTGACTCAATGCGCCACACACTAAAAACTGACACAACATAAGGAACATTAGTTATAATTATTCTAATATATGTTTTTTGTGTGTAGCTAGTGTTACATTAATAATTATTTTTATATAACAATAAATGACTCATTAAACTAAATTGCATTTCATTTCATCTAATCAAAACAAATAAAAACCATACTACCTAAAATAAAACTTTTAACCAAAGTATATCTCTCGCACTTGTGAATCGTAAGCACAACGCTTGCAACATTTTTCTCTAGCACATATGCGCAAATCTATGCTATCTTACACCGAGTTACGCACACTAAACCAAGACTAGACCTCACTTATTTTGTCGCGATTGCTTACAATGGTTGTTTATACTTTTTTATTGGCCTGAGTGTGTGAATAAAAAAATATCCAAACTTATTTATTTTTAAGTTTTCATATGCAATATAATCAACCAACTCAACCAAGCTTGCCTTTAACATATGGCACTATGGATGGTACAATATTTACTTTGTACAATATTTTTAGACTAACTCTACTCGACTAACTCTACAGAAATGGAATGGTATCAATTATTTATAACAACTAACACCCAACACTTTTTTCACAATAACATTAATTTTCTTGTTAATGATGAACCAAACTAAAAAATAAAAATTAATTTTTAGTATGAGAATAAAGTGTTTAAAGACTGTTTTTTAGTTTTTAAACTATAATTTATTTTCAATTTTTAGTTTGAACTACTAAATAAGCTTTGTTTTTAGTTCTTAAATTACTGTATTGTCATCTGTCCTTGATAAGTGTACTAAATTTCAAAGTTGGTAAAAATTATGTTCAAAGATTCCATTACATGGTTCGATAGGTTAGTGAGCCAGGAGCAATATAATTTCAATTACATCTTGATATATATATATCTTGTATAAAAATGCTAGAACTGTTAACTTTTTTTATTAGATCTTCCTTTTTTTATTTAGTAAAATATAAAACAATTTTATTATTATTGGATCTCATTAGAGTTCAAGAAGTATGCCAAGACATTGTGCTCAAAAATTATATCTTTTAATCAATGACTATTTTATGATCTCTCTCTTATTGTTTAAAACTGCTGTAGACATTAATGATTTTAATTATTTATAATATTCATGATATTTAAACAGTTATTGATTGATTATACTCTTAAAATTAAACTGAATTAGTTAAAAGTTATTTCTATAAAAAAAATATTAGCTCTTGATTGATTTGTTTACTAATGTTAGACCTTGATAAGATGCAAGCAATGCAAGGATGAGTAGGTGTGTGACACACAAGTCATTAACATATTGAAAGACATATGTAATGTTTGTTTTACCTCTCGATCACCGTAGTATCTTCGAATGGCTTCAGCGCAGGTTTTATAGGGAGCAATTTTATTGGGACGAATAAAGGAACCTGCATTAGGTTTAGTGGTCTTAAAATATTGCACATCGTCAACACTACCGTCGTGTTTTCCTCTTTCAGCGTTATCCCACTCTACGCCGTACCATATCCCTTTGTAGCCCTGCACTTCCCCGATATATTTTACAGTACCAAAATCATCATTGATTTTGACCCGACTACCGATAAACACTTGGGTATCACAATCGTCACCCGCATTGTGGCTGTCCATGGCACCGTTACAAAATTTTGGTATTATATTAACAGGCATCGCGCCCACCATTCTTTTTATGTTTTCGAAAAAGGAATTGTTTATGAAAAGAAAAACAGACTGATTTCGTTTCGGGAATACGTCTGTCAAATCAAATGAGTCAATATGTCAAACCACAATGTTGCCGCGTTTTAAAACCAGCCACTTTAATTTTTTTTTTTTTTTTGTTGACGCTGGGGAAACCCATCATTGCGGACAGCCCGTACCCCGCGGGCCTGCCTCGCCGAGCCACTTTAATACCTTAACTAATATGGGGAAGCATTTTTCCTTTTTCTCCCGATGACGCTATCATTATGGCCCTCAGCATATTGTGTACATGTAAAGCTCTATAGTGGTGATGGATTTTTGTTTTCATTTTATTTAAAATTTAATTGAAATGAGAAATTGTGCAGTGCCATAATGCAAAGAAAATGGATATCATTTGTATCCAAAAGACAAAAACTGAAGAAATTATGGGTTAAAGCAATAAAAAGATGAAAGTTGGTGAAATCACAATCTTTATATTTAAAGCTATGTGGACATCATTTTAAAAAAAGTGATTTAAAAACTCTTAAGTCGTCTACAGGTGAATATTTTTTTTATTTTTTGTACTTTTTTACATATTAATTACAGAGTTTCATACAAACATTCGTCCCCATTTTAACCTTATGTGATTGAATTTCAAAAATGCTAAAACACGTATTTATTTCATTTATTTTTATTGAATTGTATTGAAGAGCATTAATACCAAGTTTCAAGTAATTCTGATCATAGATAATTCTTTGCCTATGTGATGACGTTCTCCTGACCGATAACGGCCACGGCGGCCAATCTCATTGAGACTAGCCAACTGCGAATGAGATATTATAGTGCAGAAGTGTACGCGTAGACACAAGTGCACTCTCTATTCCTGTTACTCTCATACTTCGGTGGAACAACTGCTCGACACGACCAGTGAGAGTTAATACGCAGGACCGACGGATTTACGTGCTCTCCGAGGTACGGGGGTGAAACACAGCCAACTTCCCAGATCTGGGCTGTTACTGAGGCTTATTATACAGAAAGACTCAATAACTAAACTTGGCCCGACCCGGGACTCGAACCCAGAACCTCCGGGTGTGTAGCTGTACATGCTAGCCACAACACCACCGAGGCAGCTAAGTCTTTGCCCATATATACTTTATTACCCCCTTTTACTCCTTTAAAGGATAAATTTAAAAAAAATGAATAATCTTTTGTCACATTAAGAATGACAAAGTTTCATACAATCTTTAATCTCCTATTTTACCCGTTTAGCGGATTAACTTGAAAAATCCTTTCTTATCGAATGCCACACCATATAAGGAATACGTCTTCCAAATTTCACGCTTCTACGACCAGCGGTTTAGGCTGTGTTGATCCATCAGTCAGTCAGGATCACTGCAAGATGCACTTCTCCTTCTCAATTCTTCCTGCAGCTGGTCTAACTTCTAGATACAATACATTACACAGGTAAAATGTGAACACAATAGAAGTAAAAAACCAGGTATAAAAGAGATATCACAATAAATTGTTTAAACTCAGACTGAATGTAAATAGGCCATACGTGTGGTGCCTTCCTTTATAGAAATCTTCCCCATTATTAACGATTTGATCTTGTAAATCCATACATATAATAAATTTGTAACTAAGCCGAATCTGTACATTAAATATTTTTTGGAAAATCTTATTGAAATAAACATTATTATCGATACAGAGGCCGAATATATAGTTTTAAGAATTTTTGTCTGCATGTCTGTTTGTCTGGTACCGCATCACAGAAAAACCACTAAAGGGATTTTGATGAAATTTGGTATGGTGGTAGCTGGTTATCCGGGTCAACATATAGGATACTTTTTACCGCGAGAAAATATCTCATTTCTGAGAAAAAAATACAAAAACTGCATTGTAAGAGTATACTAATATGTAAAAACCAAGAATTTGCTTTTTGGTCACCTGAACGCAGGCGGAGCCGCGGGCAATGTTAGTATTTAAATAATAATAAAAGTTTTATTATCCTAATGCATTTTATCAAAAGTATTCGTTTAATTTCATTTATATGCATGCAGTTACTTTTCTTTTGCGATTTTTCTTTAGATATATGATATGAAATAGTATTAAATAAAAATATAGTACATCGACATAAAAACTTGTATAATTTAAAAATGTATTTAATAACGGAGCCTGATATTTGCACTTCATTGTGTATTCTAATTGTGTAAATGCATTTTTTTGACTAACTATTGCCAGTTACAAAAATATAATTGACTCTCATTAATTTTTAAACATGATCGTTAGATGACGCTACTTGTGTCAATTTGAGAGGAACAAATAACTTCCAGAAAGGTGATTGCCTGATTGGTCGTTGATGAGCGTAGAATATAACACGGCCGAGTATGGACGTTTGCTAAATAAGGGCGAAAATGTTAATTTTATTTCCGGATATGTACGGAATCGCGCACGTTGTGCCGTAAAAAAAGCTTCATCTATATCTGTAATCTGTATACATTTTGTATCATTGTATTCAAAGTTTCAGCTGTAGTATAGTTGTGCTAAATATTTTTTTTGGGTTGCACGTCAATTCAATTTACGGGAGGTGTGTGACCGGCGATACGAATATATTTTAATTCGCTCGTTGTCTTCGCGCAGTGTTCGCGTCCTCCCGTTGTCCGTTTTCTGAAATCGAAGACGAAACGTAGAACTAAAATTACTTTTTGACAAAAATGGCCACCCCTAATCCTGCAATCATGTATTCGAGTCGATAATACAGAAATGTTGCATTGTGTCTGTGAAAATATGCAGTTTATAAGTGAACAATTGTTACGTGCGAGCAAAAGTGCATAAGGATTAATAACGACAAAGGATACGAGCAACAAAATGAGGTACGTATAGCATAGTTCATCAAACCTTTGCGAGCTTTATGGAAAACAAATAAATAATATCTTACACGCGTCGATCTATATATAAACGGAAATATTTACGTTTCACCGTGTATACGTTAAGATATTTTGACCGATATATTAATGTAAACATCGCTACGGAACATTAGTTTGAGGAAGGTGTAATTTGCACTTTTATGAATGAATACCTGAAAAAATATTGCATGAGTTATGTATAGAGACTTGGTTCATTCAGAAAAATACCTATTCGAGACTTATTGATTTTTTTGCGTTTAAATCCCCGGGTTACCCCACACGTTGGTTTTGTATTATTTTCGTTTGTATTTGTTTGACCTTGAATTCAGTAATTTATAGATTCATATAGGGATGCATTACGTTTCTAAGAATAGGGTGCCTTCACTCCCCTCAAGGGATGAATCGGGCATGTGAGTAATACCCCGCCCATACTAGATGAGAACGCAATGTTCAGAAATGCATCAATGACGTAAATATTTTTTCATTTTAATTCTAACATATCAGACGTGATAATAATAATTAATCTCTTTACTAATGCGATAGAGCGATTAGCAGCTAGGTTATGAAAATTTCAGAAATATTTTTTCTTAATAAGTGACATTATTAGTGGTAAATAAACAATGATTTACAAATATGGTTTTATATATTTTTTCTATTATTTGTTATTAATTTCTTTTTTTTTTAAATTAAAATCAGAGTGGCATGCGTTTTATAAACTACAGATAAATTATAAAATATTTACATTCTAGATACACTCAGAATCAGATCCTTGATATAAGTTTATTACTCATTAGTTCTTTCTTACAAAATGTTATGATTCATAGATAAATCCATAGATAAATAATTTGTTAAAATAATAATTATTTGCAAAATTATTTAAAAACTAGCGACATAAGGATATAATGACTAATTTTGTATGTAAATTACTAATATGTATTTTTTTTTATATATTTGACTTCAAATTCATGATAATATATTAATTATTTACTCACTGATTAAATGTAGATAGGCCATTTGATTTATGTTACATACATTGTCACTGTTTAATGCAGCATACAATAAATTACAATTTTGAACTGTATACTTTTTTAATTATAGTATTGATATTTATAGCTGTGGAGAGAATTTTTGTTTTTTTTTGTGGATGGTTATTTAAATTACAAATTATTCAAAATTGTCAATAACATATTAACATAAATCTAAGATGGCATTATACAAATTATTTTACTTATTTTCCTATTAACAAGTCACTAACAATTCTCAATTCTAAAAAAAGTAACTAACAATATTACACATTATATTCAAATTACCTATTTTTAATTTCATGATTAATACATTATTTAATGATCTTGCCATCTTTAAAAAAATGATATGCAAGTGTAAGTGTATAATGTCAATTTATTTCAGTAATTAAAAACTATTTTATTTTATTGATATTAATGCCTTTCTGCTTATGATTAAATACTAAAATAGATTAAAATATGGTTGAACAACTACAGTAGTTCGAAGTACTTATAAAGCAATTTCTGAGTATATCTAATTAATTAGTCTACGTTATTCAATTAAGCCATATGGAATTGTGACTGGTATACAATTTGTAGTGTAGCCTATACCCAAATGGATTGTTTTGATGACCTATTAGTAGCTATTATTTGGCTTTTTAATCGCTTATGCAAAGATTCTACCTGTTCTATACTTAGGAGATAACAAGTTTGAATCCAGACTAAAACAGATATTTTCATAATATACTCAAACATTTTCTAAAATGTGGTCTTTTGTATTGTTATATTAAATTTTAAATTGAATCAGTTACTCTTTATCATTCAATCTTTGAGATTATTCTGCTGGCAACATATTTTTGTATATATGTACATGATTGTAGGATATTAATCAGTCTCCATTTTTGTTATTAAAAAATGCAATTTATATTAAATGAGAAAGTGTATTATGTGTTTAGTCTGTGATTATGTAGCATTTTTTTACATAGAGATAAGTATGCCCTGGATGGTAATAGGATACTATTTATTCATTACGTCAAGTGATTTCCATGTACATACATTGTACAATGTTATGTGACAAAAACAAAGCTGTTTCTTTACT